TCAAATAGACTGACAATAGAGGCTTTGGGTGGATAGGTTAGGCAGGCTTACTGTAAGAAAAAACATCTATATTTATAAAATGTTACCTCCACCCCGCCCTTCCTATATGGTCCTCTTCTCGCACAAGAAAGTTAGCTGACAGTCAAGTTGCATGTTGTTTGACAATATCTAATTTTTTAAGTCAAAATAAATATGAAACATAATCAAACAATGGCAATGATAGATAACTACATGCTACAATGTTACAGAATTGTTCGTATACACTTACCTCCTCAACAGTCAGTGGCATGCATATCCTGTACTCCTTGAGTAACATCTTCTTTAATAAGTCTCTTCTTTTTTACAATGTAACCTGTCTAACAAGTTATGACCACCAAAGCTGTAGCTAATAAAAACGCTGAATTTGGCAATGCATGTGGATTGCCTTGAAAACAGATGACCACCGTGAGTTGTCTTGTCTCATCGGAACGAATGGAATCTTCACTATGAATTTCTCACGACCAGCGTTAAAAAAACTATCCTCTCCTATGTTTATTCCGGACAGGACGTGGGTAAAAAAAAAGCATACAACTGTACTTAACTAGGATATGCCCTCAGCGAAATACATGTGATTCGATCGAAAATCTGCCAAGCAGATGTTGCTTTCAGAAGTGGGCGGTATCAAAACGGTCAAATTGTTTAAACTGCAGCTTTCTCAAACCATAGCAAACAAAAAAAATCGAGGTTTATCTAAAAAAGCGAGGGTCAGGTCCGTCCTTGCGTAGGCTACTAGGCTAAAATGTGCTCTTCCTCACTCTTCTGTGTTCCTACACATACGAGTCTTCTTTACATCGGCCTAGCTTTATGTTGCGGTGTCCTATCTTAGGAAGTGAAAAAATTCAAGCAAATGCTACGAGCTCTTCCTTTGACTGTCGTTTCTCACTCAGTGCGACGACGAGCTACTTTGTTGCTGCCACGGAAACATGCAGCCAGCACAAACCACGCGGGCAGGAAACAAGGAGCGCGAAAGCAAGCACATTAGAGTTCACTCTCCCTTGCATTGTCTTGGGTTCTATTCAAGCGTGAACTATTATCTTCCCTAGAAAGTGCATGAAACCCCGTCAAAAGACTAGGCTACATGACTCGACTATGCAGCCTGAGTAGTCTGTTATTTTACCTAGGCCTAAATAACGGTTTTTGATGACTCTGTGTCCATAATCCATAGACTGCTAGTTCATGGCTCTTTGGCCTGACTTGGCCATAACAGTGTTATTTTTTTTATTTTATTTTTTTAAATTTTTTTTTTCACCTTTATTTAACCAGGTAAACCAGTTGAGAACAGGTTCTCATTTACAACTGCGACCTGGCCAAGATAAAGCAAAGCAGTGCAATAAAAACAACACAGAGTTACATATGGGGTAAAAAAACATAAAGTCAAAAATACAACAGAAAATATATATACAGTGTGTGCAAATGTAGCAAGTTATGGAGGTAAGGCAATAAATAGGCTATAGTGCAGAATAATTACAATAGTATTAACACTGGAATGCTAGATGTGCAAGAGATTATGTGCAAATAGAGATACTGGGGTGCAAAAGAGCAAAATAAATAACAATATAGGGATGAGGTAGTTGGGTGGGCTAATTTCAGATGGGCTGTGTACAGGTGCAGTGATCGGTAAGGTGCTCTGACAACTGATGCTTAAAGTTATTGAGGGAGATAAGAGTCTCCAGCTTCAGAGATTTTTGCAATTCGTTCCAGTTTATAGGCCTTATGACAGAGATGTAGGCCTACAAAAAAAAGAAATTCTGACAACATGCATTTCTTAGAAACCAATGGTCTAATTGGAAATAAGTACATAATAATAACAGATACAAATAATGTACTTAGCCTAAAGGCTATTCTCCAACAACCTATGGTGACAGAATTACCAATAATAATAAAACACATCAAAAGTATGCATTTTATAGGCAATTTTCCAACAAAATAGAGGGGGCAAACTGATCAAGCAATTAGAAGTGGAATAAATGAACCAGTTGCATGTGTCAGGAAATATGACTTGGTTATATGGTTTAATCTTTTAGGATTTTATTCCCAGGTCCAATGTCTATAGGCCTTTGTGCCAATTTGGTTCAATGGACAAGAACAAAGGCTGCATCTCAAATGGCGCCCCATTCCCTATGGGCCCTGGTCAAAAGTAATTCACTATATAGGGGACAGGATGCCATTTGGGACACATCCAATAGCTTTTCATGTGATCTAGCCTGTAGTTTGACCAACATTACAATAATGATGTAACTCCAACATTTGAATAACGTCTGTTTTTGATTAGAAAGGGGATTAGGCTCTATGTTAGATATATGACCGTCTCAACGCACACAATAGCCCTGTATGTAGGACCATGGCTACATAAAGCTCCAGCTCAGAACAGCACATCCTCAAATGAAGTCATGTTACGCAATACCTGTGGCCCACTTTTCAGCAGTGGACAATGGGCATGGGTCGGACTCAAGCTCTCAGCCGTGTGTTTGATGAGAGTGCTGGATGTGGTTTCATCTTCAGTCTGTCAATGGATCTCAGGTCATTTCAGTACAGGGTAACAAAGGGTGGATTCAGGATGATAAAATTAAAATGTCCTCATTATGATTTGCATGGTCACACTCAGAATGGATTTCTCGTTCTCCATATAACTTTAAACCTCTATGCTTATAAAAGTGATCAAAAGAATTCTCAGGCAGTCTCAAATGAATTCTCATGCAGTTTACTGGAGACACAACTTCATCATTAAGATGACAAGGTTGTTATCGATGGAGGCTTGATCGGTACTGTTGATATTTGCCCTACATTACTTGAATGAGTGCTTTTGGATCCTGCAAATATTTGGATGCCTCTCCAGCCCTGTTTTATTCAGACAACATTTTCATTATTATTTTCATTATTTCATACTTGGTCTCCTCTCTGACCTGATACAGGCCATGTTTAATGTTCAAGCTGTTGAGGTTTAGACTGTGTTGGGGAAATCTTTCAAAGCAATGAACTGTGTGAATGAAACCAAATAATGAACGGTCATGTCCTAGTGACATCTGCTGGTAAACTGGAGTCAATACCCCTTAATTAATCGTTTCAGCCTATTTGTCAGCAGCAACATACTGCTAAATTCTATGTTCACCATTCAAATCCAAGGTCCTAATCCAGGCACTTATCATCTCCCGTCTGGACTACTGCAACTCTCTCTTGGCTGGGCTCCCCACTTTTACCATCAAACCCCTGCAACTTATCCAGCTCGCCTGGTGTTCAACCTTCCCAAGTTCTCCCATGTCACCCCGCTCCTCCGCACACTCCACTGGCTTCCAGTAGAAGCTTGCATCCCCTTTAAGACCCCTTTGCTTGCCTACGGAGCAGCAAGGGGAACTGCCCCTCCCTACTTTCAGGCTATGCTCAAACCCTACACCTCAACCCGAGCACTCCATTCTGTCACCTCTGGTCTCTTGGCACTCCCACCCCTATGGGGGTCAGCTCCCGCTCAGCCCAGTCAAAGATTTTCTCTGTCCTGGCACCCCAATGGTGGAACGAGCAAGTCACATAATAAATTGCATGGACTCACTCTGTGTGCAATAATAGTGTTTAACATGATTTTTGAATGACTACCTCATCTCTGTACCTCACACCACAATTATCTGTAAGATCCCTCAGTTGAGCAGTGAATTTCAAACACAGATTCAACCACAAAGACCAGGGAGGTTTTCCAATGCCTCGCAAAGAAGGGCACCTATTGGTAGATGGGAAAAAATTAAAAAGCAGACGTTGAACATCTCTTTGAGCATGGTGAAGTTATTAATTACACTTTGGATGGTGTATCAATACACCCAGTCACTACAAAGATACAGGCGTCCTTCCTAACTCAGTTGCCGGAGAGGAAGGAAACCGCTCAGGGATCAACAACATTGTAGTTACTATACAATACTAACCTAAATGACAGAGTGAAAAAAAGGAAGCTTGTACATGTTTTCACTTTGTGATTATGGGGTATTGGGTGAATAAAAAAAAAATTGTAATCCATTTTTAATTCAGGCTGTAACACAACAAAATGTGGAATAAGACAAGGGGTATGAATACTTACTGAAGGCACTATAAGTGGTGTTCACATTTCAAGCTCAGGAAAGAAACTTAATGAATATATGAATTTAGTGTGAATTATTCACAACATTGTGTCAATAGTGTAAAAGTGGGCAGTATTTTTCAGAATCGTACCTCAATATGATAGGCTTCCTGAGGCATGGTTCTCTATCCAGTTTGTTTAATAATTATTATAATAATAATAATAATAATTCATGACATTTGTAAAGCGCTTTTCAATATACTGAATAATCTCAAAGTGCATAGAGAGGTTTTCCCTGGGCAGGTGGGGAAATGTTCTCATTCCACCATGGGTTTAAGCCATTTGCAAAGAAAACACATTCCTCACTATCTCTCCCTCAATGTTTTTTTAAAACAGGACTGTCTGTGTCTGAAATGGAACCCTATTACCAATAGAGCACAACTGTCTTGAAACTTTGATGGTTGAGCAAACAGATGAGATTTGGAAGGATGGCCTCCAGACTACACCATCATCATCATCATCATCGTCAATTAGACAATTTGTAACATATTTGGGTTTACATTCACTTTACTTAACACACCTCCTTCACAGAGACAGGGGTCTTTTTGTTAGTGGCCCACTATTTTAATCCTTAAAAAAAGATACCAGAATAACCTAGAAAATAATTCTGGAAATTATAACGTGTCACTCTGAATACAGTTTTCCCCCATCAACAACCTATTAATGGAAAAAAGATCAGTGAGGAAAAAAGATCAGTGAGGACAGCTGGAAAGGTTAAATTGAGAGCGATGGATGCTGTGTGAATAACTAAAGTTTGACTGTCAAAACGCCTGACACAATAACTAATATTTTGTAGGGTCCTTCTCTGGGTCCTTCTGGCAGCCTAGGTGGCCTTTGCAGTTCATTGTGATTGGCCGGTTTTCCTTCACTTCCTGTAGTTTTGACACAACAGCAGCGGACTATCAGCAGTTAGCACTTAGCAGACATTTCACTTGTAAGTTCGCGGTAGTATTCAACTTACGATGTCGGAAAACATGTCTGCAGAGGTGGAGCGATCAGAAAGATCAGATGGCAAGCTTGTGAAGATGGAGGTTGACTACAGTTCAACTGTAGATACACGTCTACCGGAGTGTGCCAAAATGGCAAAAGTAAGTTGAGTATGAATGAGGCCAGCGCTGGCTGAGTCATTGTGCTTCAACACGAATGTTAGCAACATCGCTAGTTAGCTAACGGAAACTTGTTAGCAAATAAAGTGCTGTTTGTAATAATAGGCAACATTGCGACTGTATTATAACAAAGTATCACACATATTGAGTCGGTTTACTTGTAAGGTATACATCTTGATTAGTTAGTTATGTGGCTACTGTAATTGTTTTTGTCAGGGAGCGTCTCTAGCTACCTAGGCTACAGACTGTAGTACAGTAGCTTCGCTCTTGGTGTTGTGTTATGCTAGCTAGCTGGTTGGTCTTTTCAGTCGGATTTTAGACTATCAACCAACTACTATAGTTAGCTAACGTAGGTACCACAGTTATTGTTTTTCGAAGACCCCTTTACTTTAGTTAGAAATATGCTAACGTTATAGCTAGCTAGCTAGTGAAGTTTTAATCGTCAAAGCTGACAGATGTGTTGTTGTTGACATCTTTGGCTTTCCCAAACCAGACTGATCATCAATGACATTATGGATGATACAGTTTTCAATAGTATTTTTGGTCATCCATCTCGCAATTTCATCATGTGTGGTCATTAAATTGATCTTTGTAAGAATTGTCTGTCATTTGTCCTGACTGTAAGATGTATCTCCTCTCTTCTAGGAAGGTAGGCTGCAGGAGGCCGTTGAAAGCCTCTTGTCGCTGGAGAAGCAAACAAGAACGGTGAGCGTGAATTCATTCATTCATTAATTTCTAATTAAACATCACACTCATTTAGATTAAACGGTGATCATACTCCTCTGACTAATCACATAGCTATCTTTGTGAGTAACATTGTCGTCTTTTTATCCATCCACACAGGCTTCTGACATGGTGTCAACCTCCAGAATCCTGGTGGCCATTGTGCAAATGTGCTATGAAGCGAAGGACATGGATGCCCTGAATGAAAACATCATGCTGCTCTCTAAAAGGAGGAGTCAGCTCAAAGGGGTGAGACTTGGGGCTCCTTCTTTGAATGGGTACTAAGGGAAGGGAAAACATTGAGGCAGGGGTGTATTCATTAGTGCAACGCAATAAAAGTTTCTACTGGACAAATTAATGTAGGTCCAGTTTCGTTCTGTTTGGTTTATCGTGAACACACCCCAGGTGTGCACCAGTAGGTTAAGGTGCTTTGCCATCAAAACAAAGTTTTCTTCAGTAAAGTGTTGACTGATGTTAGATCTTTTGATATTGAACCTTCTCTTTTGCTTTGTTTCTCTCTACTCAGGCTGTTGCTAAGATGGTGCAAGAATGTTACAAGTATGTAGATACCGTGACCGACTTGACCATTAAGCTGAGACTCATTGACACACTACGCACAGTGACCGCTGGCAAGGTACATGGTGTCATGAACTTCTCTGATTAGCCTTACTTGGATCATCCTAAAATGACATTAAGATGATACCACCAATCATGCATATTCAGATAGCCTAAAACATTTTTTGTACTCTTGTGGGCCTAAGTAATGTCTCCATGCAATTCAAATGCGCTAATGGCTTTGTTTCCCTCACTCAGATCTATGTGGAGATTGAGCGGGCCAGGCTGACCAAAACATTGGCAAACATCAAGGAGCAGCATGGCGAGGTCAAAGAGGCCGCAGCAATCCTCCAAGAGCTGCAGGTAAGAGTAATAGGGCTTTCGCTGGCATTCCTTGGCAGCTTTCACAATTTCTTATAGACTGGAGGTAAGCGGTTTCAACCATCCATGTTACATAAAGCTATTTGACTTACTGGACTGAATCGTTAGACACAAGTGCAGAACTCAAACTGGCGGCCAAATCCCCTTGACATCAAATAAAAGGATATTTTTAAAAAATTTTCAACTTCATATTCATCATCTCCAGCACCACCCCAACATCAACATCATTAAAACTTGTTTTTCAACCACTCCACAAATTTCTTGTTAACAAACTATAGTTTTGGCAAGTCGGTTAGGACATCTACTTTGTGCATGACACACGTAATTTTTCCAACAATTGTTTACAGACAGATTATTTCACTTATAATTCACTGTATCACAATTCCAGTGGGTCAGAAGTTTACATACACTAAGTTGACTGTGCCTTTAAACAGCTTGGAAAATTCCAGAAAATGATATCATGGCTTTAGAAGCTTCTGATAGGCCAATTGATGTGTGAAAAGTGCAAATCAATCCCAGAGCAACAGCAAAGGACCTTGTGAAGATGCTGGAGGAAACGGGTACAAAAGTATCTATATCCACAGTAAAACGAGTCCTATATCGACATAACCTGAAAGGCCGCTCAGCAAGGAAGAAGCCACTGCTCCAAAACCGCCATAAAAAAGCCAGACTACTGTTTGCAACGGCACATGGGGACAAAAATCGTACTTTTTGGAGAAATGTCCTCTGGTCTGATGAAACATAAATAGAACTGTTTGGCCATAATGACCATCGTTATGTTTGGAGGAGAAAGGGGGTGCCTTGCAAGCCGAAGAACACCATCCCAACTGTGAAGCACGGGGGTGGCAGCATAATGCTGTGGGGGTGCTTTGCTGCAGGAGGGACTGGTGCCCTTCACAAAATAGATGGCATCATGAGGAAGGAAAATTATGTGGATATATTAAAGCAACATCTCAAGACATCAGTCAGGATGTTAAAGCTTGGTCGCAAATGGGTCTTCCAAATGGACAATGACCCCAAGCATACTTCCAAAGTTGTGGCAAAATGGCTTAAGGTCAGCAAAGTCAAGGTATTGGAGAGGCCATCACAAAGCCCTGACCTCAATCCTATAGAAAATGTGTGGGCAGAACTGAAAAAGCGTGTGCGAACAAGGAGGCCTACAAGCCTGACTCAGTTACACAAGCTGTGTCGGGAGGAATGGGCCAAAATTCACCCAACTTATTGTGGGAAGCTTGTGGCAGGCTACCTGAAATGTTTGACCCGAGTTAAATAATTTAAAGGCAATGATACCAAATACTAATTGAGTGTATGTAAACTTCTGATCCACTGGGAATGTGATGAAAGAAATAAAAGCTGAAAGAAATAATTCTCTACTATTATTCTGACATTTCACATTCTTAAAATAAAGTGGTGATCCTAACTGACCTAAGACAGGGAATTTTTACTAGGATTAAATGTCAGGAATTGTGAAAAACTGAGTTTAAATGTATTTGACTAAGGTGTATGTAAACTTCTGACTTCAACTGTATGTGAAAATGGCATGTTTCTATGTTTTGTAGTAAAAAAGATAGAAGAAGATAAGTGCTTCCAATGACATCATCGGTGTGCATTGTGTGATTTGAACCAATTATGAGTAGACATTGCCTACTAATTGGTGGATGATGTCATTGGAAACACTTATCTTCCTACTACAAAACATAGAAACGCATAGGGGTGTAACGATTCGTTTTAACAACGATTCGATTTGTATCACGATTCGTGGTTGTCGATATGATTCAAGGACGATATTGGTTAATTTAGAACGATACGATCCGAAACGATTCAGTGACTTGAAATCGATTCAGTAACCTTTTAGCCAAAAATTCAACCAGTGTGACTGAAATAAATACCTGGATACTGGACAGTGCAGGTGAAGTTTCCTAGATTCCTGTTTCTTGTAAGGACCGCAATGGTGGCTTGATAATTTCTCGCTCGTCGGCTTCTCCTCTGTCGTCCGCCATGCTATGTTTTGTTGTCTTTGCGCCTTTGCGCTGCTGCTGTCACGGATAGGCAGACTGAATCGAGTAATGTTTAAAGCCTTTATCATTAAAAGTGCTAAGAAAAAACATCCATATAAAGTCTGACGTGCTTAAATCCAAGGGGTTATTTCCTAGTATCGATACAATCGATTTATTACATTTTAAAACGATGTTAGATTGATATGTTGTCCAAAAGGCCAACTCGCCGAGCACAGATCGATGTAGTTGGATCATAGGAATATAAATCGATACATCGATGTAGTAGATGGATCGTTACACCCCTAGAAACGCACCATTTTCACATAGGTTGATGTTGGGGTGGTGCTGGAGATGATGAATATGAAGTTAAAAAACGGTGACATTTCCCTTTAATCATTTCAGTGAAAGTTGTCTGAGACACCATAATTATTCTAAATAAAATCTAGTGTCTATGAAGTGTTATGCCCTCCATCAGTATGTCCTTATTGAGTGCAGAACCACTACAACAGTTGTTCACAAACCATTATTCTCCCGGTCCAGGCTGTGATGTAGCACAGCTGGGCCGTGTTCAGTAGGCACAAAATGGAGTGGTATTATCTGAACTTGCCGAATGAGTAACGTTTTGCTACGACGTGCCCTAATGAACACGACCCAGGGCTAGAGTATAACATTCTGCCTCTGACAACATGCACTTTCACCCTACAGGTGGAGACTTACGGCTCCATGGAGAAGAAAGAGAAGGTGGAGTTCATCCTGGAGCAAATGAGGCTGTGCATCGCCGTCAAGGACTACATCCGCACCCAGATCATCAGCAAGAAGATCAACACCAAGTTCTTTACAGAGGACGGCACTGAGGTGAGAGAAGCGAGCAAAGCCAAAGAGTTTATTCAGGCTGGGTGTTATGATATGGACTCCCTCCCAAATGGCCCCCTATTTCCTATATAGTGCACTGCTTTTCACAAGGGCCCATAGGGCTCTGGGTGTGTTATGTAGGGAATAGGGTGCCATTTGGGACGCAACCATGGTTTTGTCTATTGGGGAGGAGGAACTACCTAAACATTTAATGTTCCAATCAGAACGTTCACTTTCGTTTCCTGACAAAATATTGAAATCTGGTTTTCTTTTTGGCTGTTTAGAAAAAATTACTGTTTTGTTTTGGCTGTCTACGTTGGTCCCGATGAACAATCATAGCATTTAAGAACCAAGCTGCAATATTATTAACCATTTACGTCATTCTTTTTCCTTAGGAGTCTAAGCTGAAGTATTACAATCTGATGATCCAAGTAGACCAGCACGAGGGATCTTACTTGTCCATCTGCAAACACTACCGTGCCATCTACGATACCCCCTGCATTCTGGAGGATGGCTCCAAATGGCAACAGGTAAACACTGGTCTCGGAAGACTGTTTTAGGCTTCAGGATGATAGTCTTTTGATATGATTTGATGCCTTTTAAAGGCACAAGCTGTAGATTTTGTTTCTGGAAAAATATTGCTCTGGCAGCAGGAGCTGGTGGGAGGGTCTTAGCGAGTGTACTGCACACTGATTGGCGTAAATGGAACTAAGATTGGGTCTGCCTTCACAGGGGACTAAGATGTTACAGATTGCACATTTTAAAATGCATAACAATATAACTCGAATGTTCTTTCTTGTTCCAGGCCCTGAAAAGTGTTGTGCTGTACGTGATACTGGCTCCTTATGACAATGAGCAGTCCGACCTGGTGCACAGAATCAACGAAGACAAGAAATTGGAAGAAATCCCCAAATACAAGTAAGACATTCAATCACATTATATTCCCAAGGGGGGCCAGTATGAAGAAAAAAAATGTATGCACTCACTAACTGTAAGTCGCTCTGGATAAGAGCGTCTGCTAAATGACTAAAATGTAAAATGTAAATGTAATTCATGTGCTTTCATTTCTCCCCTCAAATACCAAGAATGTAATCTAGCGTCGATGGTTCATTCCTTAAAATCTTCAATGGTATAACACGTTATTTCTCATCAGCAATGCCAAAATATTCCTCATCAGAAGAATGTAACCTCGAGATGATTAATTCGTAAAAATCTTAGTATTCAATACTGTTTCACAATATTCCTCATCACCCTAGCACATCATCCAATTCTGTAACACAGTAATTAACTATATATTCACCAAGGTACCATATAACCTAGCCAATTCCCAATGGTGAAACCTACTAAGCTCCCAACTGCATATGCTTGACAATTGTGGTACGGTGAAACCTAGGCTAAACTCTGATGCCTCAACTACATATAATTGTGGGGTGGCACCGGTTGCCGTGGTTAATCTCTCATCATGGTTTCTCTCTTACCTCTCCCTCCAGGGACCTCCTGAAGCAGTTCACCACCATGGAGCTGATGCGTTGGGCCTCCCTGGTGGAGGATTATGGGAAGGAGCTGAGGGAGGGCTCCCCCGACAGCCCGGCCACCGACGTATTCAACTGCTCAGAGGAGGGCGAGAAGAGGTGGAAGGACCTCAAGAATAGAGTGGTGGAGCACGTAAGTAGTTTATGGAACTGCTTTCATCTATAGATATAATATCACAGATTTACTTTAGTGGGATAGTTCATTTTAGCAAAGGGTCTGGTGGGATCACAAAGCTGTCTTTCGTTGGAACATGGTTGCTGAAAATGATCTGGAAACGTCCCTTTCACATCTAGAATAATTTCACATAATTGGTATTTTTGAATCCAACTATGTTATGTTGCTTATTTTTGTGTTTTTCTTAATCTCTCCTTAGAATATAAGAATTATGGCCAAATATTACACAAGGATCACAATGAAGAGGATGGCTGGACTCCTGGACCTCTCCATCGATGTAAGCACCCCCAATCTACTCTTTACATCTGTTGCATTTTTGGCAGGGAATGGAATTCTTACTGTTCCTCAACCCTAATGAATGCAGCCTTAAAGGGATAGTTTTCCCTCCAAAATAAGGTTGAAACTTCGGTGCTGTGAGATTAGGATGTCAGAACCTGCTTAGACAAAGCAATTGTAACAGTAGAGCAAAGGAATGGATGAAAGCGTGTATTTTTATTGTATGTAGTTCTGTCCCTGTGCTGTACTTGTCTACTAATGTTATGTATTATGTCATGTTTTGTCTGGACCCCAGGAAGAGTAGCTGCTGCTTTAGCAGTAGGTAATGGGGATCCTAAAAAATACAAAATACTAGACATTTTCATACATTAAAGGTCAAATCAAAGGTAGACTCAGAGATATGACGTAATGTACAAAGTAAACCGCATAGTGTGTCAATTTCAGCAATAACTAAGAGCGTTGAAGTGCAAGGCTAAACTTCTTCACTGTTTTGGTCCCGTTGCTACCACGCTGTAACTGCGTGAAGTGAACCCGTGCACATGCACAGATAGTGTGTGTGTGACTGTGTGAGAGCGAAGTCTTGCATCTCGCTCATTGCAATATCTGCGGTGCTCCTCGTGGCAACGTAATTTTCGCTGAGTCTACCTTTAAAAGTGGTCTACAGTTGAGCTCAATCCATATTCTCAACTTGATTTTGAAGTGTTAAAAACAGATATTTTGGAGTGATCTATAGAAGTACTATAGTACCCTAAATGAAATGTGTGATTAGTTATTGATGGTCTTTGAAGACACAGGTTCTAACATCTCTAACATCTCTTGCAGGAGTCTGAGGAGTTCCTCTCCAACCTGGTGGTGAACAAGACCATCTACGCCAAGGTGGACAGGCTAGCCGGCATCATCAACTTCCAGAGACCGAAGGACCCCAACGACCTGCTCAACGACTGGTCCCACAAACTGAACTCCCTCATGTCCCTGGTCAACAAAACCACACATCTCATCGCCAAAGAGGAGATGATCCACAACCTGCAGTGATGAGGACCGAGTGCTTTGTTTTCTTGTTTTTTTTCCTTTACTTTTGAGTTTCTCTGAATTGATGAATGAACCGTTATTCCAATGTCAACCACCCAAATTTTTGGAATATCAAATAACACATCACACCTAGTTCCCTTTTGTTTCTTATGGTCAGCAAAGTTGAAGCATTTACAATGAACAAGTCTTACGGCCATATGTTGTTACTATCTCTCGTCCCACCGATGGAATACAAATTACACTGTTTAGAGTGGTGTCCCAATTTTATCTACCACAATTTGGGCATGTGCTTTGTTCTAGAACCTAGACCACAGAGGGGCATACACTGTAAATGTTTTCCTTCCTGTTCCAACTCTCTTTTTCATGTAACCGTTATAAGGGATTTAGTATTAGAGCATTTGCGTGCAACTTGCTGTATTAAAACATTTGGTGTAAGTACTTGACGTCTTATTTTTTATGTCTACTTCGCAATGTAAACAAACTATTCTCACCTGGCATAATGGAAAGTATTTTGTTGAGTATTGTAACAGAAAATTTGATTAGTACAGAGTTGTATTTATCTGTTGTCAGATCAAGTTAAGAATACTTATTTAAAAGCTGTGAAATGCAAACCTGACAGATACAGCTTTTTGTTGTTGGTTTGATAGGTTGTGGATCCTCTGTAGCCATCTAGTGATAACTGTAAATGTTACTCCACGCACAGCGGACACTAAATCAATACTTATTTGGTGAGCTTATGCAAGATGTTGACAGTTTCTACCTTACTGTGTAGTTATATCCATATGAAAATAGAAATATAGCAGTTATACAAAAGTAAAGGCAATTGGATATTATGTAGGCATAAAATACAAATAATGTAGTACCTTTCTATTGTTTTAATTATCCAAATTCTCTATACATCAAAATATCTCTGAAAATTGTCCACACAGTAGCCTATATGAGGTGGACAAAATACTACACAGAATGTTTTGTTTATGCAATACTGTTATATAATTTACAGTGCTCAGCTAGGAGAACACTGGAAACCGGTTTGTGCAATTATCTAGGGAAATATATGAAAACTGGTATAATGACTAGCTATAAAGACTGGTATATGACTTGGTTAGAAGTTCACAATGGTCAAAGCCCAACCTACACCAAAAAGACCCAAATCCCCTCAACCTTCAGAGGAGCTACATCCCAGTATCCTTTGCGATGGGCTGACAAGTGGATCCAAGATGGCGTAGAAAGTAAAGCTAGGTAAGTGTAGACTTCCCATTTTCAGTCCTTTCAGTTGTCTTTTTCAGAGGCAAGGACACCGACTTGACTCCAGTCTGTAACACGTTCTGAGAATAATGAAGGTGTAAAATTCATGCAGACACCACAATATAATGTCATGTCACTTCTATACGTCTAAAAACCGAGCCAAAATTACAGGCCCGGACCATATCGCTAACGATAGCTCGCTAGTTGTGTATCCGTTCTGCTTACGTTTTGGCCAGCTTGCTAGCCAGATCGCTAACGTTGGCGAGCTAGCTTGGTGCCAAAAGCAAAGGGCCTACTTTGGCTGACGTGCAAACTGTGATGTTGACAGCACAATTTTCTAACTATATACACTCATGATGAAATCGACGACAATAATTATGGAACTATTTTATGTTTATTCTCGTAACATTGTAAATTATGTGCCAATGCAATGGTATTGGCTACTATCGCTCAGTGAGTCTTCAGTCTATCACAAAATGATTGCTAGCCCTCCAAGCTAGCAAAATTATTTGCCAATCTCATTTATTTGTTTTTTAACGTTAGAAGCAAGACATTTCCATGGTTCAAATTCCTCATATATTTAGTCGTGTCGTTGCACACAAATATGTCGCAATAGATAGCTGAATGCCTTGATACAAGCTAATAATGTGAGCTAACTAGCTAGATCGCGCTACACGACCATTGCACTATGGTCCCAACAAATAAGCGAGCGAACTCGAAGCCAGTCACAGCTAGCGGTGCTTCTACCGTGTTGTTTTACCTAATACCGATGATGGACAAGTAACTAGCTAACGTTAGTGGCTCGCCAACAGACATGGTACATCTATTATTAACTGACCTGGAATCTCAAAATAGACTGTTTATATTTTTATTAGTCTATAGGAGTGCCCTTTTTTGGAGCGATCATGCCGAACAGGGCAATGTGTTTTGATCAAACTTGCCGTTAGGTAAGCACTAAGTTAGCTAAATCATAGAGATGTAGTAAATAGCTAGCTAACATAGCCTACATATCCAAGGTGGTGGTAGTAAGCTACTGCTGATGAGACTACCTTTACCTTGTTAAAATCTTTGTTTATTTGAAATGATGCGTTTCATTTTACAGTAGAATATTCGTCATGCCATTACTTGCAAGCCACATGGTTGTAATTTTGCTCTTACAAACTGCCCATAGCATGCTAATGTCATGTCCTTGGTTGTCTCAATTTCTTGTCTATTGACCAATCCATAATAGTAAAAAAGTTAAAGCTAATAGACTTAAGATGCCAAACAAAGTGTTGGCCAATATTTTGGTAATCAAACACTGTATTTGCATTAGGCATTCCAACGTGCTGTGAGTGATATTTCCACTACAGTAGCATTTCCTAACATGCTTTGAATGCTCTGGTAACCTGCCTCTGAACCTTGGCCTGATCTGAGGTATTCCTTAAAAGATAATGTTACACACATTCTGGGGGATGGCCTTTGTGTTGGTTTAGGCTAGTACTATGGCATGACAAAAATGTAGCCTAACTAAGTAACCTAGCTCATACACTTATCTTGGTCATCATGAAGGAATTGAAATATGTGTGATTCACTCTGTGGAAACATAAGACACTGAGTGGGGTGTCCACCCACTTTTCCCAGAGTGGGTGAAAACGTGCTTCCTTATGTTATAAAATACATTTTACCAAGACAAATATGATTCTTCATGTTCTGAATTTTTCAGTTGGTCTTTCTCGAACATATCATTAACATATCCAAAAAGTCTTAAAATGCTACATGTCATGTCTCAAATTCGATATCTATCTTGCCCCTTTAGTTTTATGTCCTCTGAATTCAACGGTGAGCCTGTCAGTTTGCCTTAATTCTCGCACAGCATCCAGCCTAGCTGATGCAATGCAAAAAAAATTATCACTTTTGTTTTCTTCTGGCCTCCATTGATTTAGTCACCCTAGGATACAAGGGTTAAAACTCCAATAACATTTGAACGGATTATCCCTTTGGTCAAAATAGGCGTTTTTGATTGGACACCCTACACTGAGAGCTGACTCAGTCAGTGACGGTCATAAACAAAGACTAGCCCTACTTCTGCTAAATTATAGGTGGTGTATAAAAGGCTACTGTTCTTAGATATAACTGCTGTGGCGTAGTATGTTGTTTCACTATGAAAGAACCATATCAAACCCTGATGAGGAGAAATAGGGCCTTTGTTATACAAGTTGCTCCTCGGGCCCGGAGGCCTTCTCTGTTTTTAGTCAAAGCAGAGGCTATCTCAAACAGGGATGACCACTCTCCACAGGCACTGCATGTCAGGTTTAAATTTAGGCCTCCATGTTCCTCCCAATGTCTGGCTGTGCCTAACGTGCTTGAAAACATTGTTGCCATCAGATAGTCGCCCCCTTCTCCCCTCCAGCTATTTCTTATTGCACTCTGTTGCGGCAGGGTAGCGTGTTTCTATTAGTGACACTGTATCCCTTGAATCCCTGGATGCCAGGCTCAGCTCTGTGCTGTGATTAACGCTAGAGGACACCACACTCTCTGCAGAGGACAGACACCACCACAAGTTTTAACAGCCGCAAGTGTCTAGTAGTGAACTCAACTGCCCTGTTGCCTGTAGTTGTGCATATAGGCCTATTAGGTTCAGAAATACTCCAGTGTCACCGGTAGACAGCATAGCATGCAGGTTATACACACAGGTTATTTTCTAATTGATTTAGGGTACATTTTTGCGTGGAAAGTGTAGTCCACTCAATGCCCCTGTTGCCTGTGTGCATATAGCCTAGGCGTATTAGGTGCAGAAATACTCCAGTGTCACCTGTAGGCAGCATACAGTAGTACACATGCCGCAGCTGCGCACAATTTTTTCTATTGATTAAGTGCTGTTGATGGGTCCTTCCTTTGCTAACCATTCAATTGTGGTTTGACTCCGCCAATGGATAACTTCAGTTGACTCAAGTGGCGTTGGCTGTGGGGCCTTTTTGGGGCCTACATGTTTCTATGAAAAACCTGCCTAAAACAAGCTTGTCATATGACTTGGTGCTTTTATTGTTGAGTCAAATATATTGAAATGCCTTGGTAAACAAGTAAGCCTATATATAGACCTACTACCTCAGAGGAAATTAGGTATGAGCTACTGCTCGGCCTCTCAGCACAGTTGTGATGATATCAAAAGAGGATGTGGTTCTTGCTTTAAGGAACCCCACGTAGCGCTCTTTCTCTGACCATATCAGACGGGTCCTAGCCCTGAACCAGCTCACCTGATTCACCTACTCACAGGCTCAATGATTAGTTGACTATAATAATATAATAATATGATATGCCATTTAGCAGACACTTTTATCCAAAGCGACTTACAGTCATGCGTGCATAAATGTTTTGTGTATGGGTGGTCCCGGGGATCGAACCCACTACCTTGGCGTTACAAGCGCCATGCTCTACCAGCTGAGCTACAGAGGACCACATCTAGTTGAATCAGGTGTGCTAGCTGTGGAATAGTAAAAATATTTGACTACTATATTTGAAAACCCCTGGCCTAGGACCCAACCAACTTTGAATCACTTACAAAATTGTTGCCACTATGAAATTATGAATACATGGCCTAGAATGCTGTGGCATTGTAAATATTGCGCACCACCTGTGTAATGCCGGGTGTACCCTACACCACTTTGAAAATCCTAACCTCGCTGAGCCTCTGACATTAAACAACCATCTTTCCTGTACTTTGTTGTCTTGCAAACGTAGTGGTGCGCACACTAAATGATGTGGCGCAGAAAGGGGTCACACTATATAAGATTCTTCAGTTGGTCGTGAGGATTCTCGATACCACGCTGTCTCGCGAAAACAATAATGTGATTACATTGTTAACGTAGTTAGAACAAGCTGTGGCTTAACGCAGCTGCAAACGTTTTCAGTCAGACATTCACGCTTGCCATACGGAGATGAAATATCTAGCCAACATTTTGAATGAAATATTATTGATTGTGAACTTCAGAACTGTAACGATTTGACGCTTTGGTAGAAGTCAAGTACAAATGCAGACTAGAAGTCATCACTCCTGCTCGAGAGTCAACACATTCTGGGTGATGTGAAACAACTAATCTCACTGACTTTGCCGATTTTAAAATCACGTTTGAAAATATGGGACGTCTGGGACTGCTCAAAGACAGGATCGGTAGCCCTCAGATTGCATCTCTGACCCGCTCACATTAAACGAGCGTCGGTGACAGCCAAACTCCCCAAGGAGATTTTGACTCTCAAAAAAACTTGTCTGGGACAGCTAAAGATTGTCATACCTTCATACCGACCTTGTGCCATCCCGGGATATTTGGTAATACCGGCACTGAACACAAGGGACGCTATTTTCAAACCCCACTGAGCCTCTGTAATCCGAAGGTTAGCAATACAAACAAGTACATGTAAAATCCCATAGAGAATGCTAACTAAATGCTAACGAGCGCGTTGCTAACATTTTATACAGTCTTTGTCCTAAACTATTTGTAGGACAGACATCTCAGCTCATCTTTTATAAAAGTAACTAAAAAATGCTACTCAGTTTGCTGCACGCACAAAACAAATATTAGACGGCAAGGCTCTTGATCCAGGAGGGGAGTCTCTGCTATTACCGAGAGAAGCATGATTTTGGAAGACGCTAACCACTAAATTAGCAAACCAAATGCACAACTACAGAGCATTTAGCACAGTTAACTTAATAGTTATAAGATATCTACCTGGCAAACATTTAGTTGTGAATTCCATATTGTAACTAGATCACCTGCCGCATGCTGCACAACAGATTGACTCACAAGGCTCTGGTCTCTCATCATTGTGTGCTTGTAAACAAACACCATGTGACTGGGGACTACCGGTAAGCTTCATAATGAAAAATTGTGGCAGGTGAAATGAAGAATGCGATCTTCTTTATCTCCTAACGTATTGCACAAGTTGACTGCAGGTATTTACTTAAAAAGTAGCTACAAATATTCAAATGTAAAAAAAAAAAAGTTGAACGGTATTGAAAAACCATCCCGTGGCTATTTCCAAATACGGTATACCGCCCAAGCCTAGTGTACACCCGGCTTAAGAGCCAGTAGGACTAACTTAGGTTTGTAGTGCCACACATGACTACTTATTTTTAGCTCTGTGAGGAGCTAAACACAGATGTATTCCAATATATTTCAACTCGTCAAAGCAAGTGTCTACAAATAGACCTACCAGCCTACTACCCCAAGTACCCCATCACAGAAATAGCATTGCCCCCCCTTCTCCCCCTGTCTCTCACTCCGGGGTGAAGTTTCCACTAGGAACAGATCTAGAATCAGCTTCCTCTCCCCCAATCCTAACCTTTACCATTAGTGGGGAAAATGCTAAACTGACACACAATCAGTGTCTAGGGGCAACTTAAACCCCCTTTCTCTCTCTCTCTCTCTCTCCTCCCTCTCTCTCCAGACATTCTGTCGCTGAGTCATGGCAGACAGGAGAGCAGAGAAGTCATGTGAAGAAGCCAGCGGATCGTTAGCCAGGCGGGAGTACGAGGCGGCGGTGAGCCACTGCACAGAAGCGCTGCTGGCCATCGGCCCCCCGGCCCCTCCCAGCCCTGGATCCTCCGCATCCAACCCCCCCAACGACACGGTTACCCCCCTCCGCAGCCGCGCCCTGCTCTACAGGATAGCCGCCCTGCTACAGCTGGTGAGGCGTGAGACTGACCCGGGAGGCACACCTTTCGGCCCACACCCGTACCCACTCCCTCAGTGGGCATATGGCCCCCTGATCTCTACCCACACAAAAATGGCACTCGTGCACGCATGCTCACACACACACGAGTTCACTGATACAAACACACAGAAAACTAAATTGTGGCCTGTTTTGCATAAGCAGTCATCTAAGTAGGGGTAAGAAGAGCCAGTAGCTTACTCATTGTAACAAAGTACTCTTTGCTCAAATTCCTCCGCATTATGACTTAACCAGCATGTTTGAATTTGTTAAGTGTGTTCGAGTCAAGTGTCTTAAGGCCATCTTGACTTAGATTTGCTTTCTGAGAAGCAGATACAATGAGAAAGGTCCTGCCTCCTTTCATTTCTCTGCTGCAAACTGCACTGTGCTGTTATCTCCTTCTAGCACTACAATTATACCCCACTACTTAAGCCTCACGATTATAGAGACTACTTAAGTACTATAATTATATTGCGAGTGACTCCGCGCTGAGTAGCAAAGATATCCTGTCTGGGCACTTATCTAAAACTCAGTCAAGGACCTCTGTCCTATAAAACCCTCCTTTACGAGGACAGCCATTCTACTGCTTTGACTTTGTCTATTTGTTTTCTTTCTACCACCAGAAAAACTATGATCAAGCAGATGAAGACTGCAAACATGGTGAGTTGCATTTTTTTTTGGGGGGGGGGGGGGTTGGTTGAGTACTTATCATAGTGAAGACATAACCCATTGTATTGAAGTCCCATCCCCAGGTTACACAGTCATATACCAACTATAGAGTTGGATAGAGGATGCACTTGCCATAAATCCTGTTTTGGTATGGGCAGCGCCATGGAGGGCTTTCACCATTTTAAAAACTGTAGAGAAAGATGACATTGACTACTTAAAATGGGAGTTGTCAGGGACCTCACGATACGATGTTATTACAATACTTAGGTGCCGACACGACGTATTGCGATTCTCTTGATTCTCTATGTATTGCTATTCAAATACTATAATTTTTTTGCGATTCGATGGTCCAAACATATTGCTTTTTTATTTTATTTAACCGTTATTTAACTAGGCAAGTCAGTTAAGAAAAAAATATTATTTACAATGACGGCCTACTTGTAAAGCCCCCCCCGGCCAAACCCTCCCCTAACCCGGACGATGCTGGGCCAATTGTGCGCCGCCCTATGGGACTCCCGATCACGAGGCCGGTTGTGATACATCCCGGGATCGAACCTGGGTCTGTAGTGACGCCTCTGGCGCTGCGCCACTCGGGAAGCCCACCATATGTCTGCTGCAGAGAGACGAGAGAGCATGAGAAACAACAAGTTTTGATCCATTAGGGAAATAAAACAGCTCAAAACTAATTTGGCTCCCTATTTAAAAAGATTGAGAACAAGCTATGAAGGAAAAATACTTGAGTTTTGGTGCAGATACAGCCAACTATCGCAAAAATAATATTGCGTTATTGTTAAAACTGATACGATATATGGTCATATCCCGATATGTAACCTTTTTTAATTTTTTTGTCACTATTTAAAATGGATATAGCCCTCAATGGCACTTGCCCAGAGCCATTGCGGCAAAGATGCCCTCTATCCAACTCCATAAGTATAACACAGTCCTACTCAACAGACTGCAACCACAAGCAATTTACGTCTTTATTTTTGGCAATTAGCTTCATCATCTCAGAGAATTGATTTGGCATTTCATTGCTATTAAAATCATTCCAGGCGTGTTGATATGCTAAACAAATGTTAGGGTTAGAAACGGGTCAACGTTTTGGGTAAAGGTCAGAGCTAAGGTTCAGGCTCAAGTCAGTGAAAACTTACAAGACAAGTGGTTAGCATAATATTTGCGGTCGTAGCCGCGTGAAGGGGGACTTTTCCATGCCATGCCTGCTTCAGTAGCTAGCTATGCCCATGTCAAGACAAGCGGTTAGAATAACATTGGCGGTCATAGCCCTATGTAGCAGGACTTTACCACACCATGCCTGCTTCTGTTCAGCAGCTATGCCCATGTCACATGACTTGGGTGGAGAGAATTCAGTTCAGTGCGATGTGATGGGAGTGAGCACACGTTCCATGCAACGTAGTGCAGCGCGATCATGCACAGTAACGTTGAATTGTCGTCCTGTGTGTGTTTTATTGCAGTCCTGGCCGAGGAGCTGGCCAAGGGAGACGGGTCGTTTCAGGCCAGCCTGCGCTGCATGCTGCTGGACGGCAGCCTGCACGAAGTGTCCGGCCTCCTCTCCAAGTCCCTGTTTGGGGAGCCTCTGGTAAGACTGGCTCCCGGCCTTACTCCACTGTTTACTCTGCCTCTCGCCCAACACCCACCATCTTTTTCACCATCCTACTTCATCACCTCCTCCTCTTTCTCCCTCTGTTATTTTTCCTTCTCTTCCATTTTGCTCCTTTTTCCTCCTCCCTCCTCCTCCTCCTCCTATAACTGATATATGGAGACAAACACAGCCATTTAGCTCTGGGTAGCAGCTGGAACATTTCGTTCCTTTTGACTTTTCCAGGAAATGTCCTCGGTTTTTTATGAAGCAGGTTCTCTCAGCACAGAGGAAGTGTTCATGTTGACTGTTGCATCCATATGCTTTTAAGGGTTTGTAGCTATATTATTTTCTAGCCACTTTACATGAGGGCAAATGTCAAAAAAATAGCAAAATATTAGTGTTGCATATTGACTTGAAAAAAAGTATTTCCTAAAATATCAATAGCTTTTCAGATTAGCAGGCAGCGCCAAAGTGACCATTTTATTTTGTGATTTTTGAAAGTGTGTAATGCCCCTCTATCATGACATAAGTCTAGTTAATATAGTTGAATGAATGGACAGCATTCTGGTGTCAGGAAACAAGCTTGATTATCACACGAGGATACTGTGCCTTAATTAAACTCCCAACAGCAGATTAAAAACGCGAAGCCTGAACACTCTGGTGTCTAATCTGGCAACCAAAAAGCATAGATATGAAATCAGTTTATTGTTCTCAAGTTGATTAGATCCAGGGAGCAACAACCATGCTACTGCATAAAGTATTAGAATCATAAGTGGCACGACCACCCTGTAAATATACAGTGGGGAGAACAAGTATTTGATACACTGCCGATTTTACAGGTTTTCCTACTTACAAAGCATGTAGAGGTCTGTAATTTTTATCATATGTACACTTCAACTGTGAGAGACGGAATCTAAAACAAAAATCCAGAAAATCAAATTGTATGATTTCTAAGTAATTAATTTGCATTTTATTGCATGACATAAGTATTTGATCACCTACCAACCAGTAAGAATTCCGGCTCTCACAGACCTGTTGGTTTTTCTTTAAGAAGCCCTCCTGTTCTCCACTCATTACCTGTATTAACTGCACCTGTTTGAACTCGTTACCTGTATAAAAGACACCTGTCCACACACTCAATCAAACAGACTCCAACCTCTCCACAATGGCCAAGACCAGAGAGCTGTGGAAGGACATCAGGGATAAAATTGTAGACCTGCACAAGGCTGGGATGGGCTACAGGACAATAGGCAAGCAGCTTGGTGAGAAGGCAACAACTGTTGGCGCCATTATTCGAAAATGGAAGAAGTTCAAGATGACGGTCAATCACCCTCGGTCTGGGGCTCCATGCAAGATCTCACCTCGTGGGGCATCAATGATCATGAGGAAGGTGAGGGATCAGCCCAGAACTACACGGCAGGACCTGGTCAATGACCTGAAGAGAGCTGGGACCACAGTCTCAAAGAAAACCATTAGTAACACACTACGCCGTCATGGATTAAAATCCTGCAGCGCACGCAAGGTCCCCCTGCTCAAGCCAGCGCATGTCCAGGCCCGTCTGAAGTTTGCCAATGACCATCTGGATGATCCAGAGGAGGAATGGGAGAAGGTCATGTGGTCTGATGAGACAAAAATAGAGCTTTTTGGTCAAAACTCCACTCGCTGTGTTTGGAGGAAGAAGAACGTTGAGTACAACCCCAAGAACACCATCCCAACCGTGAAGAATGGAGGTGGAAACATCATTCTTTGGGGATGCTTTTCTGCAAAGGGGACAGGACGACTGCACCGTATTGAGGGGAGGATGGATGCGGCCATGTATCGCGAGATCTTGGCCAACAACCTCCTTCCCTCAGTAAGTGCATTGAAGATGGGTCGTGGCTGGGTCTTCCAGCATGACAACGACCCGAAACACACAGCCAGGGCAACTAAGGAGTGGCTCCGTAAGAAGCATCTCAAGGTCCTGGATTGGCCTAGCCAGTCTCCAGAACTGAACCCAATAGAACATCTTTGGAGGGAGCTGAAAGTCCGTATTGCCCAGCGACAGCCCCGAAACCTGAAGGATCTGGAGATCCAGATGCAATAAAATGCAAATTAATTACTTAAAAATCATACAATGTGATTTTCTGGATTTTTGTTTTAGATTCCGTCTCACAGTTGAAGTGTACCTATAATAAAAATTACAGACCTCTACATGCTTTGTAAGTAGGAAAACCTGCAAAATCGGCAGTGTATCAAATACTTGTTCTCCCCACTGTAATTGGTTTTGGGGTAAACAAATGTGTTATTCGGAGAATTGATGTATGGAAGAATATTTTGAATTGGCCAGTGACTATCTGCCAAGTCTCTTTAATTGATATAGTCTAAAACCTTTTGGATATTCTTGCTGATATTGTTTGTGTTGTAATGTATTTCCTGTACCTTCTCTTCTTCCTCAGAACGGCATCGTCACAAAGGACTTAACTAGATTAAAAATGCTTCTCTCAGAAATTGAAGTAAGTGTGTGTGAGGTGTCTTGCCTTATGTTGGACTTTGGGCTATGAGTATTGATCATATTTAAAAGTGAATGACACTGCAGGTTTATCACTTGTTGCAGTTCTCAAGAGGTCAACAAAATGTGTGAATACATATTAAATGTTATTGTCTTATGAATACAATACATCTCTCTCCCTTTCTCTCTATCTCTCCCTCTCAGGCCGTTCGTAGCAAGATGGCCACAGAATATACAGAGGACAATGAGGAAGGTGAGCAAGTCATCCTCATGCAAAAAAATATACACTGCTCAAAAAAATAAAGGGAACACTAAAATAACACATCCTAGATCTGAATGAATTAAATAATCTTATTAAATACTTTTTTCTTTACATAGTTGAATGTGCTGACAACAAAATCACACAAAAATTATCAATGGAAATCAAATGTATCAACCCATGGAGGTCTGGATTTGGAGTCACCCTCAAAATTAAAGTGGAAAACCACACTACAGGCTGATCCAACTTTGATGTAATGTCCTTAAAACATGTCAAAATGAGGCTCAGTAGTGTGTGTGGCCTCCACGTGCCTGTATGACCTCCCTACAACGCCTGGGCATGCTCCTGATGAGGTGGCGGATGGTCTCCTCAGGGATCTCCTCCCAGACCTGGACTAAAGCATCCGCCAACTCCTGGACAGTCTGTGGTTCAACGTGGCGTTGGTGGATGGAGCGAGACATGATGTCCCAGATGTGCTCAATTGGATTCAGGTCTGGGGAATGGGCGGGCCAGTCCATAGCATCAATGCCTTCCTCTTGCAGGAACTGTTGACACACTCCAGCCACATGAGGTCTAGCATTGTCTTGCATTAGGAGGAACCCAGGGCCAACCGCACCAGCATATGGTCTCACAAGGGGTCTGAGGATCTCATCTCGGTTCCTAATGGCAGTCAGGCTACCTCTGGCGAGCACATGGAGGGCTGTGCGGCCCCCCAAAGAAATGCCACCCCACACCATGACTGACCCACCGCCAAACCGGTCATGCTGGAGGATGTTGCAGGCAGCAGAACGTTCTCCACGGCGTCTCCAGACTCTGTCACGTCTGTCACATGTGCTCAGGGTGAACCTGCTTTCATCTGTGAAGAGCACAGGACGCCAGTGGCGTATTTGCCAATCTTGGTGTTCTCTGGCAAATGCCAAACGTCCTGCACGGTGTTGGGCTGTAAGCACAACCCCCACCTGTGGACGTCGGGCCCTCATATCACCCTCATGGAGTCTGTTTCTGACCGTTTGAGCAGACACATGCACATTTGTGGCCTGCTGGAGGTCATTTTGCAGGGCTCTGGCAGTGCTCCTCCTGCTCCTCCTTGCACAAAGGCGGAGGTAGCAGTCCTGCTGCTGGGTTGTTGCCCTCCTACGTCTCCTGATGTATTGGCCTGTCTCCTGGTAGCGCCTCCATGCTCTGGACACTACGCTGACAGACACAGCAAACCTTCTTGCCACAGCTCGCATTGATGTGCCATCCTGGATGAGCTGAACTACCTGAGCCACTTGTGTGGGTTGTAGACTCCCTCTCATGCTACCACTAGAGTGAAAGCACCGCCAGCATTCAAAAGTGACCAAAACATCAGCCAGGAAGCATAGGAACTGAGAAGTGGTCTGTGGTCACCACCTGCAAAACCAGTCCTTTATTGGGGGTGTCTTGCTAATTGCCTATAATTTCCACCTGTTGTCTATTCCATTTGCACAACAAGCAAGTGAAATGTATTGTCAATCAGTGTTGCTTCCTAAGTGGACAGTTTGATTTCACAGAAGTGTGATTGACTTGGAGTTACATTGTGTTGTTTAAGTGTTCCCTTTATTTTTTTGAGCAGTGTATTTGGATGCATTTATATACAGTACCAGTCAAACATTTGGACACCTACTCATTCCAGGGTTTTTCTTTATTTTGACTATTTTCTACATTGTAGAATAATAGTGAAGACATCAAAACTATGAAATAACACATATGGAATCATGTAGTAACCAAAAAAGTGTTAAACAAATCAAAATATATTATATTTGAGATTCTTCAAAGTAGCCACCCTTTGCCTTGATGACAGTTTTGCACACTCTTGGCATTCTCTCACCAGCTTCATGAGGTAGGCACCTGGAATGCATTTCAATTAACAGGTGTGCCTTGTTAAAAGTTAATTTGTGGAACTTCTTTCCTTCTTAATGTGTTTGAGCCAATCAGTTGTGTTGTGACAAGGTAGGGGTGATATACAGAAGATAGCCCTATTTGCTAAAAGACCCAAGTCCATATTATGGCAAGAACAGCTCAAATAAGCAAAGGGAAACAGCAGTCCATCATTACTTTAAGACATGAAGGTCAGTCAATATGGAAAATGTCAAGAACTTTGAAAGTTTCTTCAAGTGCAGTTGCAAAAACCATCAAGCGCTATGATGAAACAGGAAAGGAAGACCCAGAGTTACCTCTGCTGCAGAGGATAAATTCATTAGAGTTAACTGCACCTCAGATTGCAGCCCAAATAAATGCTTCACAGAGTTCAAGTAACAGACAAATCTCAACATCAACTGTTCAGAGGAGACTGCGTGAATCAGGCCTTCATGGTCGAATTGCTGCAAAGAAACCACTACTAAAGGACACCAATAAGAAGAAGAGACTTGCTTGGGCCAAGAAACATGAGCAAGGGACATTAGACCGTTGGAAATCTGTCCTTTGGTCTGATTTTGAGATTTTTGGTTCCACCCGCCGTGTCTTTGTGAGACGCAGATTAGGTGAACGGATGATCTCCGCATGTGTGGTTCCCAGCGTGAAGCATGGAGGAGGTGTGATGGTGTGGGGGTGCTTTGCTGGTGACACTGTTGGTGATTTATTTAGAATTCAAGGCACACTTAACCAGCATGGCTACAACAGCATTCTGCAGCGATACGCCATCCCATCTGGTTTCCGCTTAGTGGGACTATCATTTGTTTTTCAACAGGACAATGACCCAAAACATACCTCCAGGCTGTGTAAGGGCTATTTGACCAAAGAAGGAGAGTGATGGAGTGCTGCATCAGATGACCTGGCCTCCACAATCACCCGACCTCAACCCAGTTGAGATGGTTTGGGATGAGTTGGACCGCAGAGGTGAAGGAAAAGCAGACAACAAGTGCTCTGCATATGTGGGAACTCCTTCAAGACTGTTGGAAAAAACATTCCTCATGAAGCTGGTTGAGAGAATGCCAAGAGTGTGCAAAGCTGTCATCGAGGCAAAGGGTAGCTGCTTTGAAGAATCTAAAATATATTTTGTTTTGTTTAACACTTTTTGGGTTACTACATGATTCCATATGTGTTATTTCACTATTGTCTTCACTATTATTCTACAATGTAGAAAATTGTAAAAATAAAGAAAAACCCTGGAATGAGTTGTTGTGGCCAAACTTTTGACTGGTACTGTATGTCAATGTTTGGATTCACAACTTCAGTTAGGCTCAATGCTCAGATTCGCTTCAAAAAGGAAAGCTCTCATTTAACGCCTGGTCGCTGAATATCGAAAGACGAAGCCTTTAGAATTGGATTTCATTTTCACTTTGACTCAAGTCTCAAAAGTTTGACTCAATTTCCATACTGTATGTAGGAGGTTATTTACTGTAGGAATGGTGAGTGGGATGTTTTGTTGATACAATGATGTCTTTGTGGTCAGAAGTGAGGGATGGATGGCAGTTTCGCCCCCCGCCTAGAGGAGTTACCAGCAGTGAGGAGTACACGCTGTGTAAAAGGTAATGTTATTGTGCGTTGCTGACTGTTATAACAGTGGCATAAGACCATAGTTCATATAACATATTGGAATTGGCATGTTGTATGCAATCACTTTGTCATGTTTGGACATTGAGTGGCCTACAATTAAAGCCATTGTTATTGTACTTGTATTATGTCCACCTGCTGCAAACATGGGCTTGCTTTACAAGCAACTAAACATTTATTATCACTGTCACCTAGCTAAGTAACTGACACAGTTTTTCAGTGTTGGTTCAGAGGGTGAGGCCCTTTGGCTTTAGGCCCTTGGGGGTTGGTTTTCCCGGACACTATTGGAAATGGAAAACATTTGAACAAGTTGAGGCCACCTGGTGGAATGTCCTGTTGTCCTCCCCCTCCTCCAGGTTCCTGGAGCAGGGCCTGTGCCGCTACGGTGCCCAGTGCACGTCGGCCCACTCCCAGGAGGAGCTGATGGAGTGGCAGAAGCGCTACGCCTCGCGCCTCATCCGCCTCAAGCAGCAGCAGGAGAGCAAACACTTCACCGAGAACTACATGGAGGCGCTCATCGAGAAGTGGATGAACTCTCTCTCCCCTGAGAAAGTGGTGAGTTAACCCTAGTCTAGTCACTTATCTATGGCCCTGTTAGAATGTTGTAAAAATACACCCTCCCTTACTAGAAGTAATCACTGATTTAACTAGTGGAGGATAGGCAGAGAGGCTGGGCGCTAGGGTCTTGTTCTTATACATTAAAACACATGCTTCCCTCCTCTCTTCCTTGAAGTAGTCACTGATCTAACACAGATTGAGAGGTGGAAACAATGTTTCAATCACATAGCGTTCACCAATCACATAGCGTTCACCAATCACATAGCTTTCACCAATCACATAGCTTTCACCAATCACATAGCTTTCACCAATCCAGCCACGTCAGATCAGGGATTAGTACTTCAAGGAAGGGAGGATGCTTGTATTGGAACAGAGCCCTTGAGGCTGAATCAGGTGGTAGATGCACTGCTGTACTCTCAGCATGTGTTGATTTTTAGACTCGTTGACCCTCTCATTAGTGTCTACTTATCTCAAATAAACTGCCCTTCTAATGTAAATTGTATTAAGCTGTTATGTCCTCATTTTAGCAAGACTTAATTTTGTTAAACTCTCCTTAACTTGGCATGAATGGTCTTGTGTTCTGTCCCTGCCATAGCTGAGTGACTATTTGGATGGCGTCAACGTGGAACACAGCTCCAACCTGTCTGTAACTGTCACCACCAAGAAATCAGCTCACTCCTGGACCTTCTCCCTGTTCTGCAAGGTAACAGGAGCTATGTCTCACTCAATGTCAGCTCCCCAAATGGCACCCTATTCCCTATATAGTGCACTACTTTTGACCAGGGCCCATAGGGTTTTTGGTCAAAGGTAGTGCGCTATATAGGGAATAGAGTGCCGTTTGGGACTTACACAATGGTTTAAAAATATATATATATTTCCAAAAGCTCCACACAAGTAGATTTTGATTTGAAATCAACATCTGGCTGTTATCCATAGGCCATACATGGCCATATCATTGAAAGCAACTCAAAAGGCCAACTTTGATAAAGACTGCTCCCACACACCGGTAACCTCCGCATTTTGATTTTGCCGGCGGTTTGGTCATGCCGACCTTTATCAAGACATTCTCATAACACAGATAAAATAATTTTGCAGAAGTCGCGTGTGGGAGTAATTTGTATCATTGACTGAAGCAGTATTTTTTTCCCCCCATTCCCAGCACCACTGCAGGCGACCACATGCGTGTGCGTCTGAACATTCACTCTCAAAGCCAACTTTTTCATATACCCATTGATATACTCTTAGACTATAACTTACTGACTGACAATGCTTCCAAAGAGCACCCACATGTGAAGCAAAGTAGCACTTCAGCTGCCCTTCTTCTCTGATTGGCCACTCTCACACTTTCTTCCCCTCCCCCTCAGCCTGTGAGGAAGCTGTACCGCATCGCCCTGCTCTACGATGCCCACCGACCCCACTTTTCCATCACGGGCGTGTCGGTTGGCGATGCCGGTGCCCAGCGGCTGCAGGCGGAGGCAGAGGGCTGCCAGGAGTGGACGGCGGGCGAGGAGGCGCTGGCGGCCAACAACGGCATGGACCACTGCATCTACACGGTGGCGGTGGGCTTCAGCACCGAGATCTTCGGCACCTTCCGCCAGACCATCGTCTTCGACTTTGGCTCGGAGCCCGTGCTGATGCAGCGCATCATGGTGGACGCCGCCTCCATAGAAGGTTGTTTTTTAGTTTAGTTTAGTTTCAATTATAACATACAACCCCCAAAAAGAACCTCCCACCCTCCCTTAGTAGTCCAAGTTTCTAACATAAAATATAACCAAAACTAAAATTATTAGGAAAAGAGAAGTTGAGTTATATTGATAATGGGTTGCATTTGTGACATTTCTTACAAGGCCTCAAAGTGCTTAGCAATGTATTGGAGGTAACTAAACTCACCCTATCCACCACCAATGTGTAGCATCAACCTGAGTGACAGGGCAGTCTTCTATATCGGCAGACTTACGTTAGACTTCTTTTACGATTTCAGACGTGCAAATACAATGTCCAATGTTCTTCTCTGTACTGGCCAGTCCTCAGCTTTAGTAGCAGGCCAGTATTTCCCATGATTTGGGCCAGGTGGAATCTGCGTGAGCAGAATTTTCCTAAGCTGGAAGAGGATTTGAAATAAAATAATACTTGTGGAATCAAAACTTCAGAACATTCATAAGAACACTGTTAGCCATTACTATGTTTACAGACAAGAGCATGAAAGCTATTGATAAGATTCTATAGGATTGGAATAACAATATCAGGATAATATAGGTCTCTATGAGTAAGAAAACCTGCAGATTCCCCAAATCCCCTGTGACTTACAGTAAAATGTATATATGGCCCATGCGGGAATCAAACCCACAACCCTGGTCTTACCAACTGAGCCATCAGAACCAGTCAAGCGCAGGCCAATATTTCCCTATAACCCTCATGCTCAAGTGTCAATATTAATGTTGGAAGGTGTGGTTTTCACAATAAACCCTCCCCTCTCCAGACCTGGAGCACCTGATGCAAGCCAGGCAGCAGCTCCTGATGACGGCCAAGCGCTGGGACCCGTCCTGCAAGACCATCGTGGAGTTCAGCCCCAATGAGACGGTGGACCTGGACCGCAGCCTGCTGGCCCGATACCAGATCCCCCTGTCGGCCGACCAGCTCTTCACCCAGTCGGTGCTGGACAAGACCCTGACCCGGGACAACTACCAGGCCCGCCTGCACGACCTGCTCTACATCGAGGAGATCGCCCAGTACAAAGAAGTCAGCAAGTGAGTGAGAGCCTCTGTTGTTGAAGTCTTTTGTTTCCAATCAGTCCTATTCTGAAAACCTTCAACCACTGACAATGGATTTTATTGCTAAAAATACACTTTTTAAATAGTGCTTAATTGTAACGAGTGTGTACTGATTTTGATTCTGTATTTTCTCGGATGGGTTGGTCCTTTAGTGGTCCTTTTATTGAGGTTTAGTCAGTCACACCTCTTGATACCCTGCGAATAGACATTTAGTGTAATGTTTTATATAGTGTGTAGACAATATGGAGCAACAGTCTGGATTGAGTGGAGGTCTGTGAGATTGTGGCCCACCACAAGGTGTCAGAGTCGATCTTCCACAGTAAAAGGGGTTTGCCTGTGTGTGTGTGTGTGTGTGTGTGTGTGTGTGTGTGTGTACACTACACACGTGGCCAGGCACACAGCTAAAGCCCTTTTTAATAATGCATATCTCCTCGGCATCCCCAGAGATTTCCCCAGAGCTGGAAATGTGTTTTAGAACAGAAGTAATTTATTGTGTATAAAAGGAGGGCCTCCCCCAAACCCCCCCTGTAATTCGGCACCTGCTACTCTCCTCAGTGGAAGGTGAGAAGGTTACCAGGTTATTACAGCAATCCAACCCTGATTAAGACCGAATCAAAGGCCCCCAAGCCTTCGCTCAGTCAACCGAGTGGAAGTAACCAGGGTTGCCCTCTCCCCCTCCCCCACTTCTTCACTGGTCCCCCTCATCACTGTTATTGTCATTTGCCTGGGGCTGAGGAACGATGGATTCTTCTCAATCATCAAATTTACCATTGAGGGCCGGTTTCCCGGAAACAGATTAAGCTGAGTCCTGGACAAGAAGCATGTTCTATGGAGATTCTCCATTTTAGTGTTTTTATGTCCAGGACAGGGCTTAATCTGTGTCCGGGAAGTATGGCTTCGTGGGGTGACTCTGTTCATCAGAATAATCTGATCCAGGACCTGTGAATTTCTGGCTTTGCATACATGCTCATTTGATTCAATACAGACTATATAATACTTTACAGTATACCGTGCATTTGGAAAAATTCAGACCCCTTTACTTTTTCTCCATTTTGTTACATTAGCCTTATTCAAACATTTATTATCTACACACAATACCCCATAATGACAAAGCAAAAACAGGTTTTTAGAAATGTTAGCAAATTTATACAAAATAAAAAAACTGAAAAATTACATTTACATAAGTATTCAGACCCTTTACTCAGTACTTTGTTGAAGCACCTTTGGCAGCGATTACAGCATCGAGTCTTCTTGGGTATGACGCTACAAGCTTGGCACACCTGTATTTGGGGAGTTTCTCCCATTCCTCTCTGCAGATCCTCTCAAGCTCTGTCAGGTTGGATGGGGAGTGTCGCTGCACAGCTATTTTCAGGTCTTTCCAGAGATGTTAGATCGGGTTCAAGTCCAGGCTCTGGCTGGGCCACTCAAGGACATTCAGAGACTTGTCCCGAAGCCACTGCTGTGTGCTTAGGGTCGTTGTCCTGTTGGAAGGTGAACCTTCGCCCCAGTCTGAGGTCCTGAGCGCTCTGGAGCAGGTTTTCATCAACGATATCTCTGTACTTTGCTCTGTTCATCTTTCCCTCGATCCTGACTAGTCTCCCAGTCCCTGCCGCTGAAAAACATCCCCACAGCATGATGCTGCCACCCCAATGCTTCACCGTAGGGATGGTGCCAGGTTTCCTCCAGACGTGACGCTTGGCATTCAGGCCAAAGAGTTCAATCTTGGTTTCATCAGACCAGAGAATCTTGTTTTCTCATGGTCATAGAGTCCTTTAGGTGCCTTTTTGGCAAACTCCAAGCGGGCTGTCATGTGCCTTTTACTGAGGAGTGGCTTCTGTCTGGCCACTCTACCATAAAGGCCTGATTGGTGTAGTGCTGCAGAGATGGTTGTCCATCTGGAAGGTTCTCCCATCTTTACAGAGGAACTCTGGAGCTCTGTTAGAGTGACCATCGGGTTCTTCTTGGTCACCTCCCTGACCACGGCCCTTCTCCCCCAATTGCTCAGTTTGGCCGGGCGGCCAGCTCTAGGAAGAGTCTTGTTTTTTCCATTTAAGAATGATGGAGGCCACTGTGTTCTTGGGGACCTTCAATGCTGCATACATTTTCTGGTACCCTTCCTCAGATCTATGCTCTACGGACAATTCCTTCGACCTCATGGCTGTTTTTTTCTCTGACATCCACTGTCAACTGTGGGACCTTATATAGACAGGTTTGTGCCTTTCGAAATCATGTCCAATCAATTGAATTTAGCACAGGTGGAAACCGGATGCACCTGAGCTCAATTTCGAGTCTCAACAAAGGGTCTGAATACTTATGTAAATAAGGTATTTCAGTTTATTTTTAATATATTTTCTAAAATGTCTAAAAACCTGTTTTCGCTTTGTCATTACGGGGTATTGTGTGTAGATGGAGGGAAAAAAATGTATTTAATCTATTTTAGAATACGAAATGTTGAAAAAGTCAAGGGGTCTGAATACTTTCCAAATGCACTGTAATTAATAATACACAATAATAGGCTATATAATACAAATATGAATATTGTATCAATAATACTATAATATAGTCTAATGTCCCTGTCAAATACCCTCACAGTATTGCTGTCTTGATAAGAGATGTTGAACTCAGAGAAAATTATTTTGGCTGTCCATGAACAACCCATGACTACTTGGCCCAACTCCAGTGTCCTCTTTCTCCCCAAACAAATGATCATTCAACAATCAATCTGCAATTCTGTCTAATTAAGGTCCCTAGCTTACCTAAGGGACTCCCAAAGCTGACAAACATATGGTCCAAGTCAGTTTTGCCACTCTGCTGAAATAGTGATGAATTGGTAGATTTTCATGCCAAACAAAGATCCGTCTACCCAACACAAACATGTTTCTACCACTAACAGCTGTCTATGTGAATGCCTCCGGGCAAAAAGTTTGCCTTGTAAACCACATGGCAAAGTTAGGCCCTCTGTGGATAACAACTACTGTTTGCATTTAAATGAATGTGAAAAGGTCACATTACTGGAAGTAAAGAGGTTACATTGATTCAACCTTATTCCAGTTAAAACATGGTGCATATCTTGACGCGACGACTCCAGTCCAGTCCCATTTCATTGCTAGCTAACTTTGCTACCGTCCAACTCTCTCCCCTCCCAAGTTCAACATCAAAGTCGCCTCAGCATTGGATAACAATGCTAATGTCCATTTCTGGCTAACTTCGCTTAGGCCCACTCTCTGCATGTCTCCCCTCTCATCAGTCACATTAGCATTTTCTAACAATGCTAAGGCTCCCATTCCTAGCCTCATTTCTGGCTAATGACGTTAACTCTCCTCTCCCACCAGGTTCAACATCAAAGTCAACCTCCAGCTGGTCACCAGCTTCATGCTGACGGGCATCTCGGGTGGCGCCAAGTACGCCCAGAACGGGCAGCTCTTCGCCCGCTTCAAGCTGACGGAGACGCTGTCGGAGGACACGCTGGCGGGCCGCCTAGTCATGACCAAGGTTAACTCAGTCTTGCTGCTGCCCCTGGCCCGCCAGGAGTGGTGCAGCCAGCCCCCGGGGGTCAAGGAGCGGGTCTACGAGGCCTGCATCGAAGAGAAGACCAAGGACTACATCTTCCTGCGGATATGCAAGGACTGCTGCGAGGAGCTGGGGTTGATACCTGATAGGGAACTGCAGGTACGGACCAAATACGCCATTGGATAACACTGTGTGATTGACCTAGCAACAAGTGGCTACAGAGGAGTTGATTGGTTAGAATAGATCATTTATTTTTCATCTGAGACTTAAAAAATGGCAGCTGCCACAATAGGTGTTTTCCATTTTTTTTTGTGGGTAGGTTATTGGATAAAAGGATCCAAAGTCCAGTATGGCGTCAATGCCATTATGTGTAGTTCAATACAACCTATAATCACACCACGGGGGAGGTCTATGCTTTTGAGTCACAAGGACATCTTCCTTGACATGGCGTCAGCCTCGAGAAGCTTGTTTATGTCCCATGTCACCACTGTCAGAGGAGGTGGCATAGAAACTATTCTATGAGTCAGGTGAATGGTTTCAACCCCCAAAAGGCCCACCATCCCCATCCTTCTTTCAGCCCAGGGCCAATCTCCCATTCCATTGTGTCCTCTACCAATTGAGAGCTGAGAAATCATTAATGAAAGCCTCACCTCCACCTCTCCAACGTCTGATGCTTTAGCGAAAGCAAACTCTCAGGGTGAAAGGTCCCCGTATCGATTACCACTTCACAAAGGTTAGCGCCGTCGACGGTAAGGCTGGCTCTCCAGGGAAAATTGCACTATGCCAGCGCGGCGAGAGATCTAGATTACTTTGCCCAGTGGCGGCTGAAGGCTGATCTTTCTCGCCGGTGTGAATGATTGGCTGGTGGGGAAAACGAGGCCCGGGCATGTGCAATTATCCAAACAAGCCTGTTGCTGGGAATATAATCTGTCCGTCATGTTTTGGAGAGTGCCGCTTGGTTGCACGTGTCTTTCTATCTCTTGGTCTTTCTGTTATTATCCTTTGCCATTTTTGAATTTCTCTCTCCCCTCAATGTTTTTATTGTAATTTTTTTCTCTTACATCCCCCTCTCTCTCGCTTCCTTTCTCTCTGTCACTCTCTTGCTCTCTCTCTTGCTCTCTCCTCCCTCTCTTTTTTGGTTTCCTTCTTGATTCCTCTTTCTCCACACTTTACTGCTGGCCTCTGTACCTGTTAGCAGCTCATGTCTGGCTAAGTGATTAGGACAGGGCCCGTGGCGATGGGGGAATTAAAGCTAGCTATCTAGCCACCCGCTGGAAACCCATGCTATTATGAAATTAAACAGAAGTTTGTCAGGGGGAGAATGTGCCCCCTAGCCTCCCTAGTTATCAACGAAGAGCCTTGATTGCCAGTGCCAAGCAGACTGGCCCCATATAAGGAACAAATGTAGGGATGGAATCCAGACAATAAAACGGAATTCAACAATATAAAAACCATTTTTGAACTTGTATGTTGAATTGAGCGCAGCTTCCACTATATGTAGCTGTTAGCGATGATGCTAATGAAAAATCTTCTGGTAGACGGAAAGGCTTTCCCAAAAGCCTTCTCAATTAAATGTTAGGTACAAAGTAGCCTATGCTTAACTGGCAGAATTATATCATGATTATTTGCTTATTTGTTTAGCAAATTCTGCCATTACATGTGCGCCTCAAAAACATCTCCAGCCTCTTTCTAGGTGTGCAATATAGTTAAAGGGCCATATAAACTACACTAGGGCCATATAAAATCTGTGATGCGGAGAACACGGACGGAATCACAGAATCCAGACATTAAAATGGAATTAAACAATATTCAAAAAACATATTGAACTTAGTAGGGAATCAACTAAATGTATTGAAAGTTAGTTAATTTGCTCAAGTTTATCATCAGACATGAACAGAATGCATCAGTGATTCGTATTTCCTGCAACTTTCTGAAAAGGCAATGAGAATTCCACGTCTGTGTGTGCGGTGTATCTACCGCTATATGTAGCTGTTAGCGATGATGGTATAAAAAGGATTCTGGTAGATGGAAAGGCTTTCCCAAGAACCTTCTCAGTTAAATGTTAGTTATACAAAGTAGCCTATGCCTACCTGACAGAATATCATGGTTATTTGCACCAATCCAGTGGTTATTTGTTTTGGAAACTCTACCATCACATGTGCACTACAAAAACATTTCTAAACAACAGCCTTTTCCAAGGTGCACACTGGAATTAAAGGGTGACTACACCCCAAAAATCAAAATTTCTAAATTTTTTCCCAGACCTCAAGTGGTATCTTGATGTGATTTAAGTATTGTTGTGGACTTCAAAGATCCAATTTAGTTGTTTTTATATATAAAAAAGTGATTTTGAGAGCGAAAACCTGGAGAAAAAAACTGAAAGAAACAGGATTTTATAGGGTCCTATACAGTGAGGGAAAAAAGTATTTGATCCCCTGCTGATTTTGTCCGTTTGCCCACTGACAAAGACATGATCAGTCTATAATTTTAATGGTAGGTTTATTTGAATAGTGAGAGACAGAATAACAACAAAAAAATCCAGAAAAACGCACTTTAAAAAAATTATGAATTGATTTGCATTTTAATGAGGGAAATAAGTATTTGACCCCTCTGCAAAACATGACTTAGTACTTGGTGGCAAAACCCTTGTTGGCAATCACAGAGGTCAGACGTTTCTTGTAGTTGGCCACCAGGTTTGCACACATCTCAGGAGGGATTTTGTTCCACTCCTCTTTGCAGATCTTCTCCAAGTCATTAAGGTTTCGAGGCTGATGTTTGGCAACTCGAACCTTCAGCTCCCTCCACAGATTTTCTATGGGATTAAGGTCTGGAGACTGGCTAGGCCACTCCAGGATCTTAATGTGCTTCTTCTTGAGCCACTCCTTTGTTGCCTTGGCCGTGTGTTTGGGTCATTGTCATGCTGGAATACCCATCCATGACCCATTGTCAATGCCCTGGTTGAGGGAAAGAGGTTCTCACCCAAGATTTGACGGTACATGGCCCCGTCCATCGTCCCTTTGATGCAGTGAAGTTGTCCTGTCCCCTTAGCAGAAAAACACCCCCAAAGCATAATGTATCCACCTCCATGTTTGACGGTGGGGATGGTGTTCTTGGGGTCATAGGCAGCATTCCTCCTCCTCCAAACACGGCAAGTTGAGTTGATGCCAAAGAGCTCGATTTTGGTCTCATCTGACCACAACACTTTCACCCAGTTCTCCTCTGAATCATTCAGATGTTCATTGGCAGACTTCAGACGGCCCTGTATATGTGCTTTCTTGAGCAGGGGGACCTTGCGGGCGCTGCATGATTTCAGTCCTTCACGGCGTAGTGTGTTACCAATTGTTTTCTTGGTGACTATGGTCCCAGCTGCCTTTACATCATTGACAAGATCCTCCCGTGTAGTTCTGGGCTGATTCCTCACCGTTCTCATGATCATTGCAAGTCCACGAGGTGAGATCTTGCAATGGAGCCCCAGGCCGAGGGAGATTGACAGTTCTTTTGTGTTTCTTCCATTTGCGAATAATCGCACCAACTGTTGTCACCTTCTACCAAGCTGCTTGGCGTTGGTCTTGTAGCCCATTCCAGCCTTGTGTTAAGGTCTAACAATCCTTGTCCCTGACATCCTTGGAGGCCTTGTCTTCCATGGTGGAGAGGAATCTATTGATTGATTGGCTTCTTTGACCGGTCTTTGGCCATTCTCTCGCTTCCTTTCTCTCTGTTTCTCTGTCACTCTCTTGCTCTCTCCTCCCTCTCTTTTTTGGTTTCCTTCTTTATTCCTCTTTCTCCACACTTTACTGCTGGCCTCTGTACCTGTTAGCAGCTCATGTCTGGCTAAGTGATTAGGACAGGGCCTGTGGCGATGGGGGAATTAAAGCTAGCTATCTAGCCACCCGGTGGAAACCCATGCTATTATGAAATTAAACAGAAGTTTGTCAGGGGGAGAATGTGCCCCCTAGCCTCCCTAGTTATCAACGAAGAGCCTTGATTGCCAGTGCCAAGCAGACTGACCCCATATAAGGAACAAATGTAGGGATGGAATCCAGACAATAAAACGGAATTCAACAATATAAAACATTTTTTTGAACTTGAATGTTGCATTGAGCACAGCTTTCACTATATGTAGCTGTTAGTGATGATGCTAATGAAAAATCTTCTGTTAGACGGAAAGGCTTTCCCAAAAGCCTTCTCAATTAAATGTTAAGTACAAAGTAGCCTATGCTTAACTGGCAGAATGATATCATGATTATTTGCATTCATCCAGTGGGTATTTGTTTAGCAAATTCTGCCATTACATGTGCGCCTCAAAAACATCTCCAGCCTCTTTCTAGGTGTGCAATAGAATTAAAGGGTAACTACACTAGGGCCGTATAAAATCTGCAATGCGGAGAACACGGACGGAATCACAGAATCCAGACATTAAAATGGAATTAAACAATATTCAAAAACGAAATGAACTAACTTTCAATACATTTAGTTGATTTGCCCAAGTTTATCATCAGACATGAACAGAATGCATCAGTGAATCGTATTTCCTGCAACTTTCTGAAGAGGCAATGAGAATTCCACGTCTGTGTGTGCGGTGTATCTACTGCTATATGTAGCTGTTAGCGATGATGGTAATAAAAAGTATTCTGGTAGATGGAAAGGCTTTCCCAAGAACCTTCTCAATTAAATGTTAATTATACAAAGTAGCCTATGCCTACCTGACAGAACGATATCATGGTTATTTGCACCAATCCAGTGGTTATTTGTTTTGCAAACTCTACCATCACATGTGCAACTACAAAAAACATTTCTGAACAACAGCCTTTTCCAAGGTACTTCACTGGAATTAAAGCCGGTGACGACACCCAAAAATTCTAATTTCGACCTCAAGTGGTTATTTTGATGTTGATTTAAGTATTGTTTGTGGACTTCAAAGATCCAATTTTTAGTTGTTTTTATATATAAAAAAAGTGATTTTGAGAGCGAAAACCTGGAGAGAAAAAAACTGAAAGAAACAGGATTTTTATAGGGTCCTATACAGTGAGGGAAAAAAAGTATTTGATCCCCTGCTGATTTTGCCGTGCTGCCCACTGACAAAGACATTGATCAGTCTATAATTTTAATGGTAGGTTTATTTGAATAGTGAGAGGAACCGAATAACAACAAAAAAATCCAGAAAAACGCACTTTAAAACATTATGAATTGATTTGCATTTTAATGAGGGCAAATAAGTATTTGACCCCTCTGCAAAACATGACTTAGTACTTGGTGGCAAAACCCTTGTTGGCAATCACAGAGGTCAGACGTTTCTTGTAGTTGGCCACCAGGTTTGCACACATCTCAGGAGGGATTTTGTTCCACTCCTCTTTGCAGATCTTCTCCAAGTCATTAAGGTTTCGAGGCTGATGTTTGGCAACTCGAACCTTCAGCTCCCTCCACGGATTTTCTATGGGATTAAGGTCTGGAGACTGGCTAGGCCACTCCAGGATCTTAATGTGCTTCTTCTTGAGCCACTCCTTTGTTGCCTTGGCCGTGTTTTTTGGGTCATTGTCATGCTGGAATACCCATCCATGACCCATTGTCAATGCCCTGGTTGAGGGAAAGAGGTTCTCACCCAAGATTTGACGGTACATGGCCCCGTCCATCGTCCCTTTGATGCAGTGAAGTTGTCCTGTCCCCTTAGCAGAAAAACACCCCCAAAGCATAATGTATCCACCTCCATGTTTGACGGTGGGGATGGTGTTCTTGGGGTCATAGGCAGCATTCCTCCTCCTCCAAACACGGCGAGTTGAGTTGATGCCAAAGAGCTCGATTTTGGTCTCATCTGAACACAACACTTTCACCCAGTTCTCCTCTGAATCATTCAGATGTTCATTGGCAGACTTCAGACGGGCCTGTATATGTGCTTTCTTGAGCAGGGGGACCTTGCGGGCGCTGCATGATTTCAGTCCTTCACGGCGTAGTGTGTTACCAATTGTTTTCTTGGTGACTATGGTCCCAGCTGCATTGACATCATTGACAAGATCCTCCCGTGTAGTTCTGGGCTGATTCCTCACCGTTCTCATGATCATTGCAACTCCACGAGGTGAGATCTTGCATGGAGCCCCAGGCCGAGGGAGATTGACAGTTCTTTTGTGTTTCTTCCATTTGCGAATAATCGCACCAACTGTTGTCACCTTCTCACCAAGCTGCTTGGCGATGGTCTTGTAGCCCATTCCAGCCTTGTGTAGGTCTACAATCTTGTCCCTGACTGGGGAGAGTTTGGAATCTGATTGATTGATTGATTGCTTCTGTGGACAGGTGTCTTTTGTACAGGTAACAAACTGAGATTAGGAGCACTCCCTTTAAGAGTGTGCTCCTAATCTCAGCTCGTTACCTGTATAAAAGACACCTGGGAGCCAGAAATCTTTCTGGTTGAGAGGGGGTCAAATAGTTATTTCCCTAATTAAAATGCAAATCAATTTATAACATTTTTGACATGCGTTTCTCTGGATTTTTTTGTTGTTATTCTGTCTCTCACTGTTCAAATAAACATACCATTACAATTATAGACTGATCATTTCTTTGTCAGTGGGCAAACGTACAAAATCAGCAGGGGATCAAATACTTTTTTCCCTCACTCTAAATGGTTGCCCCGTCCATGAAAAGGAGTGAGGGAGACCGACACTTTGAATTCTTAGCATTGCATTTATTGATGATAGGCCATTGATTAATATGTCAGAGTGCAGTTGTTCAGAGCTACTTGTTTCCAGCCTCTCCTCTCCTCTAAACTGGATCTTTATTTAGTCACTCAAAACACTTGGTTTGAGTGACCTAAATGAGTGACCACAACATCTGACTGCTCCTGACCGTCTGATGACTGACCAAGACCACCTCTGTCTTCTGATCGTCCATGAGTGACCACTCCTGTGTTCCCCTCTGACACAGGTGGAGCTGCAGTTCCAGTTGAACCGCCTGCCCCTGTGTGAGATGCACTATGCTCTGGACCGCATCAAAGACAATGGCATCCTGTTCCCAGACGCCAGCCTTACTCCCACCATCCCCTGGAGCCCCAACAGGTACACACACACACACACACACACCATTCCCGTAGCCCCAACAGGTACTATCCAACCCCCCCCCAGACCAGGGGTATTCACATCTGAGCCTGGAGGTCTGCTGGTTTTCTGTTCTACCTGATAATGAATTGCAACCACCTGGTGTCCCAGGTCTAAATCAGTTCTTGAGGATAATAATGAAAATCAGAAGTGGAACTGGCTTCGAGGTCCAGATTTGAATTTGTCCATGCTGTGCAAACAGATTCAGGACAGCCATTGTTAATCAGAATCTGCCCAACAGTCCCCTTACTCACCCCCATCGATCCATGTGAGGTTTTGCCATGAATTTTGGCGGAGGACATTTTTCAATAAAGATTATGCAATAACCTACGTGTGTGTGTAAAATGTTATTCTAGCTTGCATACTCCTTTAGGTTAAATACAGAAGTCTCCCTAAAACATGCATGGTAAATTAGCTTCGCTAATACGTTCACACCGGAATGAAGTTGAGAAAGGTGACCGAGACTAGCTGCCCTCGCTGACTAGGCGGCCATTTTGAAAAGCTGTCAGTTCTCCCGGCTTTAGATATCTCGTCTAAAGTCAGAGAAATGTTGGAACGCCACAGATTAATCTTTATTGACAAGAACCCAAGAGTCAACTGTCAAGACTAATCCTTTGCTTCCAAATAATTAATTAATCTGGTTTCCTGAATATGATTGACACTGTATAGGCTTTGATTAAAGTTTTAATTCGCTGTAACTTTTGACAATGTTTATTAGGACAATCACCCCCTAAACTAGCTCCATATGGCAGTAACCAGCTTTGGATAAAGTCCGTAAATACTATTGGTCCATATGTGCTTCACGTCATTAAGATAATTGTATGAGAATAAGTGGTATTAAAAATGGGTTTGAAATAATATGGAAAGTGTTGCCTGTTAGAATAAGTAGGTTATATTGCTTGTCACTAGTTATGTAGGCCAAACAAAGCCCCTGCCTTGCCTGACTGCATGGGGACTATTGACTGCCATGTTGATTGGTCATGAATAAGCTATTTGGCCAGCGCCAATGCACTTGTCTCCTGTGTCTGGGTTTCTCAGACCAGCTGTGCACCCTGTGTCTGTTTGTTTCACCACCCATACATAATGCTTTTGATCAGCCTCACCAGCCAGCCATACCAAGGCCTCGAGAGTCCTCACCCCTCTTCAGACCTCATTACTCTGTGTGTGGGCCTCCCAGCTCAGTTTAAACCCTGACCTGGCTCTCCATTCATCTCCACTGACCTCTGAACCCATCCTTCTGCCCTACCTATTCACAGCCCCATCACGGTGGTTACAGCTGCCTTTAGCATGGCTGGGCCTGTATATGATCGACTGGGCGGCTGTTCAGCTCCACTGGGCCAGTGCTTTCTAATGAGGCCCGGGATGCTAGTAGCCTGGGAGACTGGCCCACGGTTTATCACACTTAAGAGGGTGTGGAAGTGGGGTTTGGTGTGTAAATATGATCTATGTCCCCTCCTTGTTAGGGATCCCATGAGCGATGCTGCTTGTGAGCCAGCCAGCAAACTAATCGACTTAGTTTCAATGGGAATCTCATCCCCCTCCTTCCTCCCCTATCTCATCCCCTCTCTCTCTCCCACCCTGCAGGCAGTGGGACGAGCAGCTGGACCCGCGTCTAAACGCCAAGCAGAAGGAGGCCATCCTGGCCATCACCACGCCTCTCACCATCCCCCTGCCCCCTGTGCTCATCATCGGGCCCTACGGCACGGGCAAGACCTTCACCCTGGCACAGGCCGTCAAGCACATCCTCAGGCAGGACGACAGCAGGTGAGGCGGGCACCACACGCCAACACCGCTACGGCCAGATGGGTCGCTCTAAAAGGGCAAAGGGCGAAAGGGCAAGGTTACTGCTGCTGCTGGGGCTACCGGCAGCCTTGGAGTTGACATTTAGTTAAGAAAACACTCAGGGTGACATTGTCAAGTTGGGTGTATCTTCCAATCAGAATGTGTCACTGAAGGCAATTGGAGGATGTGTGTGGGTTATGCAAATGTCCGTAGATTGGGATTGAGACAGCGATTGTTTGGTTGATTGTGTTTGGATGATTGAATGACAAATCGAAGACCATGTTACTCCGCAATCTCCATTCAAGTGAACCATGTTGTGTTCAACTGAATTGTCATTACAACGGCCTGTGGAGTCTGTTCCAACAGAATGCCTTGTTGTAATAGAATGCGAAATGCCCAGAAGGTTCCCGCTCTTCCACTTTTTGCTCATTCTCTTGTTAGTACGGCGAGACGCTGACAGGAAATGATATTGGCTGGTGTAAAAATAGGAAACGACAATGTTTCCTGCGTTTTTATACAAAAATAAGAGAATACATTGTGGCATTTGGCCTTGAACATAAGATGTTTTATTTTATAAAGCTTTCATACATAATAAAAAAATATGTTCTGAAAAATGTGTAGGAATGCAATATTCATCTGAAACTTTCCAACTGAATATGTTAAATATTATATGGTGGGAATGAATTATGGATGTTTTAAAAGCAGATACAAGGAGGGTGATTGACCCCTATAGACAGTTGTTCATCATGTTAACTTTCTGAGAAATAGGAACATGCAGTCCTCGGTCAAGTGCACAACGTTCCTGCAACGCTGTTTAAGGGATGTGTTAACATGTTCACTTAAATGAATGTCCTAGAATTGTCAGTATTGCCTCAAAGTAGAAACAGTAGGTGTTATGTCACTTCTAGTCAATGATTCTCTGACATACCTACTTGTCTTTATTATTAGGGCCTGCCGTTTTTCCTCTTAAGTCCTGACACATTTGTCCCCTTTTTTTTCTGCAGGGTCCTCATTTGCACCCATTCCAACAGTGCGGCTGACCTGTACATAAAGGACTACCTTCATCCATATGTAGAAGCTGGCAACGCGCATGCAAGACCTCTCAGGTAAGGGTCTACAAACGCTCTACAAGGGCAGCACCTCTTCAGAACACTGAGACCCTCATAAGAAACAATACAATGCAATACTTGCTTTATTCCAAGATATTCATCATTTTTTGCTGTACCAGTACCCAACCTTGAGAGTTCATTGCTTACACATCTTTAAAGGAACATGTCTGCCGCCTGAAATCAATCCCCACCTCTTGTGAACAGTGTGCTTTCGGGCATTCAGTTCTCACTGCTGCCTGAGACATCAACAAACCCAAATCCACTCATAGTTGCATGGAATCGCAGTCAAAACCAATGATCAGATTGATCCATCCACATCATTGAGGTTAGAGGTGCAGTGGAACGGAACAGCGGTTGCCTTATGGCTGTGAGCTTGGCAGACCTCAATCTTTCTGAGGAGATGTGTCCTGGCCCCACAACACAGCAGCTGTGACATGCAGACTCCTATATTCCTCCCTTTCTCCCCTACACTCAATCTCCTTCCCTCGACTACTGCTTCAGTGACTTCTAATCACAGTAACTGTAATCCAGCCCCCCAACAAAATAAAAATGTATCCCTGACTTCTAGCCAGACTCTATGTGGCAGTGAAGGCCCTGCAGGGGGAACAAATGACTTGTTACACTTGACTGATGGCCTGATATCAAGGGCTGTGTTTGGGAATCCCACTGTAATCGCCATGTAATTGGGCGATCAGCCAATTTCTCCTGGGGCTTTGTGTGCTTAGCCAAGTGAGAAGGCCATACGTGTACATGCTGAAGGCGATACACAGACAGTTCTTTAGGTCAGCTAAATCCTGTCGAGGCACAAAACCCCATAAGGAATGAGACGATACAACCAATGGAGTGATATGAAAATGTCAGGACAGTTGCAAAATGCTAAAAGTATAAAAAGTCGATGTTGCTGATTTGTGTGTCTACTTGTCAATTGCAAGTAGAGTAATAGAAATGTAAAATAAATAATCCCATCGTATTAAAACCAGTAAATGGATACTTCTCTATGTTAATATGTATCTGTTGCTGTTGATTTGTCAGCCCAGTTTGTCTGGAATTAACCATCCCACTGTGTCCTCTCTCTCTCTACCCCCAGGGTATACTTCAGGAACCGCTGGGTGAAGACTGTCCACCCGTTGGTGCAGCAGTACTGTTTGATCTCTAACACACAGTACACTTTCCAGATGCCCGAGAGGGAGGACATCCTCAGGCACCGCGTGGTGGTGGTCACCCTCAGCACCTCCCAGTACCTCTGCCAGCTGGACCTGGAGCCAGGTGAGTGGCTAACCGCTGACATAGCATATCCACTCAATGTAGCATACACAGCTTACGTAGCATACACAGGTGCTTGGTTTGCTAACTGCTTAACGTAGCAAATATGGCTAATGTAGCAGCATATACTGTACTGGTGCTTGGATTGCTAACTGCTAACATAATAGGAATACACAGATAACCTAGCATACGCAGATAACATAGCATACACCGCTAACGTAACACATAGATAAGGTAGCATATACTGGTGCTACAATGACTTGATACATTGAGCTGTATAGCCACATTAATCAACATGGAACACACAGCTAATGTAGCACATAGCAAACGTAGCATACACTGGTGCTATAACTATTTGATACAAGGAGCTGTATAGCTAGGAACATACTGTAAAAGCCTTTAAATGAACCCAAGTGAGCGGTGCAACTGCAAACTGCTTGTTAAGACGGCTTAGGCTACATGCAAATGTTATGCATTTAACAAGCAGTTTTGTTTTAACAAGCTCATAAAGTCAACAGAATGACAACAGGGCCGTTAAACGATCCCAACACCCACCTACCGAGATGTAGCTACATCACACATCTCAAACCCGCCCCAACGCGTCTTTTGATCAGCCGCCACGCCTTCCCCGTAACGCCAGGAGACTGCATGGCAGAGAGAAGACGGTGGAAACAAAAACCAATTTGTCAGCAGCGAGCTAATAACCGTCTCTAATGTGTCAGCGGAGGGCTTTGTCTGTTGCTTAGGAACACCATCTGCCTGTTTCCAATGTGCTTTACATTATTAGGCCCCTCCCCCCCTTGCGTTTCATCCATCTCCCACGCTCGCTGTTGATGAAAACCGCCGACAAATGAGGCAATTGGGAGCCCCTCACACACCTTTGTAGTGATGACAAATCACAAATCCTGTACACATGTCGAACAGGTTGCTTTGGCTCTTATCTTTTTTTGTTTTGGCTTTTCCATCTCCTCTTCTCTATGGGCCAGGCTTTTGGCAGCCTGTGGTTTGTCTGTGTATGTGTGAGATGACCGAGAGAATTACATTTGTCTCCTAGAACTACATTTGACTCCTAAATAGTCTACCTCCTAACACCACCGCACCCCCCCAGTGCGCTCCTTAATCCCCCAGTTCAGGCCAAATTCCACGGCCATCGTTAGTCATATGATGGATAGCGGGTATGGAAATGCAATTTGGCCCCTGGTTTCTGGACGGCCCCGAAAGGCATTTACAGCCCGTCCCCCTTCATATCCGCCTGCCCCCGCTCATAAACAGAACAGAACCTGCCTTACTTCCCTCTTTTACGGCAAGCCTCGAGGTACACTACAGACCCATATGTAATTATCATTGTACATCATTCCTATGCGTTATGCGCCGCATTACATATTTATGAGGGTGGAGCAGCAGGGAGCGGTAGTGCTAGCTTCACCTTTGGCTGGGGTTAGAGGTCACCTATAGTGCATGTTGTTAATAATGACTCATATGACAATGGGAGGTGAAGTTATGGTACTTTGGTGTCTTTGTAGTCTCTTAACTGACATACAGGGTGCTATATGCAAATAACCCTACTACAATAGATGGTAGAATGTGCTTTATATTTTGTCTCTTACTCAAGTGCAACAGCAGTTCCAACGCTCAACATGAATACAAACTTTGTCGTGCATTTTGCAAAAGATTTTGTTGTAAAGATAAATATTGTAATATGACCTTGGACTATACAGAACATGAATGCATTCCACTCCTGTCCGTTTTTTTTAAATTCTGAAGTATGCTAGTACCAAAAGTTCAAGAAAAATCCACGAAAACCCTCCAACGGCCTCGATTGATCCGTTTCTCCACCATCATACTGTATGTCTCCACTTGTCCTGTGGAAATGGTGAGGCGTTTGGACCCGGCTGTATGGTGGTTGTTCCTTCCACCTCTCCCTGCCTGCTCTGCTCCGACAGTCCTCTACTATGCCGTTTCATCCTCATGTGCCGAGCAGCGCTTGAGCCTTTTTAAATCAGGGTTACCGCTCGATCCCTTTCAAACGTCTGCAATACCAGCTTTAGTGTGTATAGGGGCTGCTGTCTGAAGTTGAGGGAGGGAAAGAGATGGGGCAGAAGACAAGCCCGCATTTATCTTTTTTTCTTCTGTGTATTTGTTTGTTTTTGCTGTCGACTCAATCGCAAAGCCAGACGGACAAGAAACAAAAAACTAACTGTCTGTACATAACCTTCTCCTCATGGGCTGAGCAGGGTTTTGAGTATTTTAAATCAGGGATACCACCGCTCAAACCCTTTCAAACGGCTACTGTTGAAGATGGATAGAGAGGGGGCAGAAGATAAACATTTTTGCTCCAATGTGTTTTTTTTGTTTAGATGATGCAATCACAAAACCAGACAGGCAAGACACAAAATAAGAGCTGGAACAATAAGCGCATCGAAAGTAAAGCCTACAAGTTTACAGAACGAAGAGTAAATGAGAGCGTTCGTCATAGTTTATTTGGGGTTAGAGAGTTCATGTTTGTCAATTTTAATATTGAAAGGACAATGCGCTAGTAACGACTAAGACCAACACATCGGAACGTTGGACCCCGATCCAAAAGGACCAAACTGGAAAAGTATACATAGCAGATCTGTACCACACAATATCAAATCAATCATTATCCAATGAGGTTGTGATGTTACAAGTGTCATTGTGTATTACTAATAGCATCCACCATAAGCACCACAGACCAATGCATTGCTGATGTCTTGACCTTGCTAGCCTGCAATGACCCGTGCACCATTTGTTTCAAGGAGCCTAATGAATCCTCACCTCATGGTAATTAATGGGTCCTCTAACGGTGCTGTGACTGAAATGGTTTATTGTGTTCTTGTGTGTCCGCAGGGCTCTTCTCTCACATCCTATTGGACGAGGCAGCCCAGGCCATGGAGTGTGAGACCATCATGCCTTTCGCGCTTGCCAGCAAAAGCACCCGCATCGTGCTGGCTGGGGACCACATGCAGGTAAAACTGCGGTTTAGGATGAGGTTTATGATGATGTCATTGGTTTAAACAAACTCTGACCTTTTGAAACGAACTCACTGTAACTCCTTTTTAGGGCCTTGAGTTTTTCTTGGTCAGGTCATGTAGTGGAAAAACTTGGGCCTTACTCATATTCTCTCATGCAAATGACCTCCGAGTTCTGTAGTCCTTTGCCAAGCTAGCAAATAAAAACCAGTGTATCCCCCAAGTCCTTTACATTTCCATGTGCTTTGGACTCCGTCGTTAGCCTGTGGCTAACTTCACATTGGCCGTGAGTGAAACAGACTGAGGAAAGAAAGAACTTGGCAGAGAGAGCATGTTTACCTTTCATAGTCCAGTCAGACGAGGCAAACTAAAGTAAACTCCCCCTGTCAGTCAAGCTTTGTGGAACACTCTTATTTCCGTTTCTTTTTGTGTTCTGAACATTGTGTTTATTGAGTGCAACAGGAAAGGATTAAGAGTGGGCAGTAGATAAATACACCTGGCTGGAGTTTAACCATGCCATAACGGTTTTAATTCTTTCTCTACTCCTTCTTGCGACCTCTCAGAAGGAACAATGCCTCGAAAAATGCTCAATTCTCCTCTCCTGCCTCTCCTCTGTCGCTTTCTTTCTCTCTTGCGTTCTCTCTCTGTCTCGCTCTCTTTCTGTCTACCTCTCTCTCTCCCTCTACATCTTAATCTGTTGCACTTTGTCTGTACGCTACGTGTCTGTTGCCAAGGAGGATTTCTTTGCCCCTCTCCTATTCTGTCTGTTATCACTGTTCATTATGGGATGTTGTTTTGTCTCTCGGCTGAACGAAGTAGGCTGAGAATAGTGTATGAAGGTCCTCGGCTCCTATTGACTTCAGGTCTTCTATTCACTGTGTGTGCCTCTTTAAAAGCCTGGCTGAACTTTTCCCCTGAGAGACTGGGAGGTTCAACCTGGAGCTAAATTACCACAAACACAAAACAATCTACAGTGAGGGAAAAAGAGAATTTGATCCCCTGCTGATTTTGTACGTTTGCCCACTGACAAAGAAATGATCAGTCTATAATTTTAATGGTAGGTTTATTTGAACAGTGAGAGACAGAATAACAACAAAAACATCAAGAAAACTCATGTCAAAACTGTTATAAATTGATTTGCATTTTAATAAGTATTTGACCCCTCTGCAAAACATGACTTAGTACTTGGTGGCAAAACCCTTGTAGGCAATCATAGAGGTCAGCCGTTTCTTGTAGTTGGCCACCAGGTTTGCACACATCTCAGGAGGGATTTTGTCCCACTCCTCTTTGCAGATCTTCTCCAAGTCATTAAGGTTTCGAGGCTGACGTTTGGGAACTCTAACCTTCAGCTCCCTCCACAGATTTTCTATGGGATTAAGGTCTGGAGACTGGCTAGGCCACTCCAGGACCTTAATGTGCTTCTTCTTGAGCCACTCCTTTGTTGCCTTGGCCGTGTGTTTTGGGTCATTGTCATGCTAGAATACCCATCCACGACCCATTTTCAATGCCCTGGCTGAGGGAAGGAGGTTCTCACCAAAGATTTGACGGTATATGGCCCTGTCCATCGTCCCTTTGATGCGGTGAAGTTGTCCTGTCCTCTTAGCAGAAAAACACCCCCAAAGCATAATGTTTCCACCTCCATGTTTGACGGTGAGGATGGTGTTCTTGGGGTCATAGGCAGCATTCCTCCTCCTCCAAACACGGCAAGTTGAGTTGATGCCAAAGAGCTCGATTTTGGTCTCATCTGACCACAACACTTTCACCCAGTTCTCCTCTGAATCATTCAGATGTTCATTGGCAAACTTCAGACGGGCCTGTATATGTGCTTTCTTGAGCAGGGGGACCTTGCGGGCGCTGCAGGATTTCAGTCCTTCACGGCGTAGTGTGTTACCAATTGTTTTCTTGGTGACTATGGTCCCAGCTGCCTTGAGATCATTGACAAGATCCTCCTGTGTAGTTCTGGGCTGATTCCTCACCATTCTCATGATCATTGCAACTCCACGAGGTGAGATCTTACATGGAGCCCCAGGCCGAGGGAGATTGACAGTTATTTTGTGTTTCTTCCATTTGCGAATAATCGCACCAACTGTTGTCACCTTCTCACCAAGCTGCTTGGCGATGGTCTTGTAGGCCATTCCAGCCTTGTGTAGGTCTACAATCTTGTCCCTGACATCCTTGGAGAGCTCTTTGGTCTTGGCCATGGTGGAGAGTTTGGAATCTGATTGATTGATTGCTTCTGTGGACAGGTGTCTTTTATACAGGTAACAAGCTGAGATTAGGAGCACTCCCTTTAAGAGTGTGCTCCTAATCTCAGCTCATTACCTGTATAAAAGACACCTGGGAGCCAGAAATCTTTCTGATTGAGAGGGGGTCAAATACTTATTTCCCTCATTTAAATGCAAATCAATTTATAACATTTTTGACATGCGTTTCTCTGGATTATTTTGTTGTTATTCTGTCTCTCACTGTTAAAATAAACCTACCATTGAAATTATAGACTGATCATTTCTTTGTCAGTGGGCAAACGTACAAAATCAGCAGGGGATCAAATACTTTTTTCCCTCACTGTAGTTTAGCCTGTGTCAGATTAGAGGTAATTGCTATTGGGGGGGGTTTGTGTGTCTTTAGCGTATCTAAATCAAAGGTGCTGTTGAGGATGTTTTTCGGAGCACCTCAACGTGTTATGCTAACTTTAACTCTTTTATTATTTCTTATTGTGGCATTGTCGAAGGAACCTGCAAGTAAGCATTTAGTTGGACAGTGTTTATATACCATGTGTATCCTGTACATACGACTAATAAAACTTGAAACTTGACAAATCACGCTAATGGCACAACATCTCTGCAGAAATGTAGCGACTGATGATAAGATACTGGCATCTTTGGTTTTGGAGACACAGGTACATTTTCTATTTTATTTAGATTCGGTTGGACGGGAACTCATTGATTTGGAGCATTGTTAGGTACACAGACTACATGACATGAGCTGTCGAAGAAGTTGTCTTTTGAGTACGGCAAGACGGTCTGTTCCATTAGCCAAATGGACATTATTTGAAACCAAAAGTAGATGTAGAATGAATTTTGATCAAACCAAATATTGCCCCTAAACATTTACAGTTCCAGTTTTATTGACTACAAATGCAGAACATACAAAACTCCAGTCAGGTTATATCGTCACCTGCACATCCCTGTTGAATTGAAAAGAAACAAACGAAAAATAAATTGAGGATGTTACTCAAGATGCATTTTACTCAATGTTTTAGGGTTGCCCTTACTTCTCTACCTCCATCTCTCTCTTTTCCCCGTTCCCTCCCTCCAGCTCAGTCCGTTTGTGTACAGCGAGTTTTCTCGAGAGCGGAACCTGCATGTGTCGCTGTTGGACCGGCTGTACGAGCACTACCCAGCCGAGTTCCCCTGCCGCATCCTGCTCTGTGAAAACTACCGCTCCCACGAAGCTATCATCAGGTAGGTGTGAACTCTATCACGCCGCCAAGAGGGGGTGGGAGGGGAAGGATGGGGAGGAGGGGGTGAGTGCAGTCAGCGCATCATGAATAAACACTCAGCAATAGTGAGGGGGGGGGGGGATTGATCGTTACATATCGCAATATTTTTAACGATATTATATCGATATTGATTTGTTAAATACATCGAATTTGACCCCGCCTCTGCAACATCGTTTACAAATGGGAGGTTTTATGCAGGCAGAAGACTTGACAGAGTTGACAGTCCCTCTTGGCTATTGACATACATAAAAGCCCAATGTACACTCGGAGTCCCATGACCACAGTGTTAAACAATTCTCAGATGGGGATGCTGAAAGTTTTAAGTGGTGGTTTATGAAAGAAGCTTACGCAATGTGTTTGAAGTGGTTACTCCACTTTAAAGTGGTTTTTGTATTTTATATAGTTGAGATGTTCAAATGCTTTTCACTCACACACATTTACATTTGGAGAACATTGTGAATGCAGATTTCTTTACAAGAATCTCGAAAGTCACTAGGAACGGCGAGGACCGTATGGAATGGAAAACTATCCAAACAGATGGCACAATTGTCGAAGAATAGCCGCAATGCACGCAACCGTATCCGTATTCAATGCACGCCCATGCAACCATGCCTTTCTCAACTGACGCCTGTTGCAACTGTGACATTTGTGAAGACCCACTGATGTTAAGTCTCCCACCCTCCCTACCTTCAGCTACACGTCAGAGCTGTTCTACGACGGGAAACTGATGGCCAGCGGGAAGCAGCCGTCTCACAAGGACTTCTACCCGCTGACCTTCTTCACAGCGCGCGGCGAGGACGTCCAGGAGAAAAACAGCACGGCCTACTACAACAACGCCGAGGTATAAACCATTTAGTTCCCTGTACACCACTGACTTAGGACTGTATTGATTGAATTGAATTAGTGCGTTCATGGTGAATTGAATGTTGATTGAATTAGTGCGTTCATGGTGAAATTTAAATGGTGAATCATTCAAAGGAATCGAGTTGAAATGCACACACAGACAAAACACACCCCATGCAGTCAACATTACTGTAATGTATTACTTGTGCCTCATATTATTTATTGAGCTTCACAACCAGACATGTATTTGGAAAATACCCGGCACTAAACGCTAATTCCTTGTGAAAGCCCAGCATTTAAACCAGGCACTCCAGGGACTGAGTTTGACAGTCAGAGGTGCCTCTCCTAGATCTGAGGGGAAACTCGCCAAGTTGACCCATGAACCCAGCTGACAGAAGCTTGACAGAAGCTGCCCAATTAAATTGGATCTGCTCCCATCACAGCGCTGCGCCAACCTGTCATAGACGCCACAGGAATTACCCGACCTCCCTTTGACGATACCACACCTGTGTCAAATGGCTCGGGACATTAGCATAATCTCATAGGTTTAGGTTGCCTTGATTAAGTGTGTGTGTCCTGTTGTATGTCTGCTGATGTGATGTCTGCGCTGGATTCTCCTAGTTTTTTCCCGTCATTGGCTGAAAAGGCCCCTTGTGCAGCAGTCATTTCCACCGTCTCTTTAGTTCTGCTTACTCTTTGGGGGTTTTAGGCCCTGGTTAAGTACTTTGACGACTCATAAAAAGTGGCAACAAGTTGATTAAAATGTACTGATGTCCCCTGCGTTGAGCTTGTAATGTTTCAATTGACACCTATGGAGGATGAAAAGGTTTTTGTTTGGAGGCAACATGGACGCCCTGCCTTCCAGGACAAATGTTTCTATCCAGCTCGAAGGTCCATGAAAAAGCGTGCCACCTTGTAGTCAGTGAGGAGTAGGGTGAAATTGCCCCTAGCTGCTGATCTTGGGTCAGTTTTGCATTTCCCCCACTTATGGTTAAGGCTAGTATTGGGGAGGGGAAGCTGATCCTAGATCTGTACCTAGGGGAAATGTCACCCCAGAGAAGATGCCAGTTTTTGGACATGATCTATGAGAAACACTGGCACTTGTAACCAGTCTCTCCTTCCTGTGTTACTCGAGGTGTTTGAGATCGTGGAGCGGGTGGAGGAGATGCGTAAGAAGTGGCCGGTGGCGTGGGGCAAGCTGGACGAGGGCAGCATCGGCGTGGTATCGCCCTACGCCGACCAGGTATTCCGCATTCGCGCCGAGCTCCGAAAGAAGAGGATGCACGAGGTCAGCGTGGAGAGGGTGCTCAACGTCCAAGGTGAGAAGAATACTTTTTGAATATTTATTGATCCATTGCCTTACAATGGATCAATAAATAAACAATGATTATTTAAATTAACTTATGACACTACGTTCCACTATAACCCATGGCACAGACAGACATTTGGCCCATATTTGCTATCAAATAGAATAACAATTTCAATACCGCAATCACAATGGAATAGTGAAGATCAAATCATACTACTCATACACTGATGAAGCATTTACGGGACTTTTACTGTGGAACTTTTTTTCTCCAATTTAAATTCTGTTTTGACATTCTAAGACGGCAGCGATTTTAAAGTGTGACTCTCAGTCTTTCAGTGATAGTGTGTGAGATGTGGGCCGGGGGAGTTGGCAGCAGCACTTCACATCCTCTCTCCTAACATAGTCTGTCTCTCATCACCCAGCTAGCAGCTCCTCTCGTCTCCGGGACGAGGCTAACGCTCCCACTGGCAACACACTCTCACACAGCCATACGCTGCTGCTTCCAGCTCATTAACTCTCTCATTAAGGAGAAGATGCAGCGATCAGGACGGATCTCACAACACACAGCTGTCTCTGTGTTTCTCAATGTGGTGTTGGTGTACAGTACACACACACTACCTGGAGTTTGAGAGGGTGTGAATAGTGTTTTGTTTTTCTGTATTGCCAAACGCATATGCTTTATCATGAATCATTTCTGCAGTAATTGGATCGTATTTTGGGTCATGAATGATGTCAGCGCTGGGTCGAGGTACTTGGATCATATAATTATTATAATGTAATGAATTAGTCATTATGTTTCGATGAGATTAATATCCACGAAAGCACGCTGAATATGACCAGTAGCACTTCGTGACCTAATGAAAAAGCATTGTATGAATGCAATTCATTACTAATAACCTTTGCCATACTACTCACTAGCTGCTCATTGGCTGAAAACGAAAGGCTAAACTGACCTTGTATGTACCTCTCAAACCTCTTCAGGTAAACAGTTCCGGGTGCTCTTCCTGAGCACTGTACGCACGCGGCACACGTGCAAGCACAAACAGACGGCCATCAAGCGCAAGGAGCAGATGGTGGAGGACTCGACGGAGGACCTGGACTACGGCTTCCTGTCCAACTACAAGCTGCTCAACACGGCCATCACTCGCGCTCAGTCCCTGGTGGCCGTGGTGGGAGACCCCATAGCGCTCTGCTCGGTGGGCCGCTGCAGGTATGGAAAAAACCAACCAGGACGTGTTCTCATGGGTTAGGGCCATGTTAGAATACTGAAATGAATCCTTCCCTGCTCCCTTCCTTGAAGAAATCCCTGATCTGACATGGCTGGATTGGTGAAAGCTATACGGTAGAACTGTTGCTTACACCTATCAATTTGTGTTAGAGCAGTGATTACTCCAAGGGATGGTGGAAGGATGGGTGTGTTTTTATAGTATTCAAACAGGGCCTGGAGTTTCCCCTGGTCGCGTCCTAGTCATCGAAGTATTGCACTTGACTGGGTTTGAAATCTTGCTGTTTTCACGTTCCATTACATGTTCTGAAGGCTCACTGTAAATATGTTGCAGTGTGTGTGTGTGTGTGTGTGAGAGGGTGGGGAAGGGGCACAGTCAGTGTGCCAGCTGTGCAGGAAGAAGTAGCACAGTGGGGGTATGTCTCCCTGCCAGGCAGGCCCGCTCTACCCCTACCACATACACACACACATTCACACACCCTCCCCAAGCCCTCTCCAATGCACGCCCGCGGAGTGTCAGCTTAGGATGACATCATAGCGCCAGGCCTTGACAGAGCCATTGACATGAGCAATGTGCTCTGTTTCTGGGGTGTTTGTTTTGATAATGTTCTCATATTGTAGGAGGGGTGGGGCAAGGGAGCATTACTCTCAGAAACCATATTTTAGGAAATTAGTTTTTCTCCAATGGAACTGAAATATGAGGGGGGGTTATTGAATTTGGTGCAGCTATTTGTAATCTAAGGACTTCTCATTTCTTCCCTGAATGGAATTAAGCCAAAACCGACACTTTGCCTAGTTCTGTGTTGATTACGTCCAAATATTTCCCCCATACTCAAAACATCTTTAGGGCTGGGGCACATATTCTGCTACCCCATTCCCCATTCCCCACTGCAAACACACAAACGCACACAAACAACACCCCCACGGCGCTCGCTGAGCCCCAGCTGCAGTCCCTCTCTCTCGTCGCCATGGCAACTGTTGAGCGTCAGCCAATCGTGGCATCCGGCTGCGGCAGTTGTTTAGAAAACCTTATAACAATGTAACCGACGGAAAAATCAATGGAGCTAACGAGGAAGATGCTCTGTTTAGATGGACTGTCTTAATGCCTGGAGAGGGGGGCACCCCCAACGTCAAACTGTCACCTTTTAAGAAGAACAGACAAGTGGGCTGGTCGTGACACCATAGAGTAGGCTGTGCATGACTTGCAGACACACTCGCTCGTACACATACACACTCACACTCAAACACGCACATGGAGGGTGGGAAGGAGGAGTATGAAAGAGAGAGGGAGAGATGATTGGGATGTTGACTCATTTTCGATATGTCACACCCCCCATGTTGGTAAGAACACGGCGCTGGACGGACACACACACACACCCCACACTCTGCTGTGCCTGTCAGATAAACCAGCGTGTAGCCACAAAGGTTAAGCAGCCCGACTACAGAGCGAGGCCATAGCAGTTCAATTTACACATACCCCTCCACAGTGAAAGATGTCACCAAGTATATCATGATCTCTCTTTATCTTTTTAGACGCTTCGGTTATTGCTGACGTGATCCACATTGTCTTTTGTGACTGATGTGTGGAATACAGTCCGCGCTTGATAAATGCACATCGAATAAACAATAAACTGTGCGTAAGGGCAGTGAAGTTACCAATTCACATTTGTTTTACTGATTGTGTACAATTGATCGAATTCTCCATCTATTTGGACTTCAAATTCCGAATGAACAGATTGTGATGTAGTCTCCGTCCATGCTGCCCGTGTGGGCTTGATGTGGGTCATTGAAGCGATGCCTTAAACGTGGGTAATCGGAGGAGAAGGGATAGCAATGGGGTGGGGGTGGTTTAATGGGGGGGATGCACTCAGACCGCCTTATTGACACCTGATTAACAAAAATAGCCTTCACAAGTCACTGCAGATCAGTTATATAACACATACAAACATCTACCTCCCATCCAGCTACTATAAGGAAGGAAGATGCACATTGTCACTGGAGTCATAGCGCTGTGTTCTGTGAGACAAGAGCACTGTACCACACCAGCCATAATTGTGGGGTGCCCTCAATTTGATACCAGCACAAAAGCCTTGCATTTGCTTTCAGAGTAAAGCTAGGGATTCATAGAAATGTACATTCAATACCATTCATATTCTATAAGTATTTTTCAATTTACTCCCTAAATTGTTGAAATGGGCACTGACCCAAAGTTAGGGATTAGAGTGACTCTCGCAAGCTTGCATCTGGCTGATGCTTTTTCATAGAGACATCTACGCTTGATGCAGTCATTTTCAAGTCACAAACTCTGACCCCTTCTTTGAATATTTCTCGTTGGATTTGCGATGAGTATGCTGTCATTTTAAAGCACCTGTAGCTGTCGCATTGTGATGATGGACGGGACTCTTGTGAATAGGGACCTGTCTCATTTTGATGATGTAATGCCACAGAGGGGACAGTTGTGAATAGGGGCCTGTCTCTGTTCCTTAAAGGGCTGACAGCTTATTTTCCCTCGGTCGCAGGTTCCGTAGTTAATATGCAAATCTAAATAATTACCATACATTTTTGTTCACCCGGACATTATGCAAGCTGTGTTGTGTTTCCATACACATGCATACACTCATACACACACAAACATGCAAATCATAGACACACACACACACACACACACACACAGTCTACTTGTCAGAACTGAGCTGTTATGAACATGCCAACCCCACTAAAGACATTTATTTTGCTTTGGTGTTGCTGCCTACAATAGGCCTTTTAAATGGACCATGATTTATTCATTCATGCTACAGTACATGATTTGGAGTCATATCTACAGTAGTGGGTGGTTTAATAATCAAATAATGAAAGTAGGAGCCTTTCACATGAAGATTCTGTGCAAGATTTGACTTTATTTTATTTAACCTTTTATTTTGACAGTCTTTTCCAGATGAGCCCTGTATATCACCCCAAGACACATCAAAATACAATAAACACATTAAACTACACATTCATATACACATTAAAATACATTATTATACACGAAAAGCAAAACACAATCATAAAAAAACAGACATTCTTCAGTAAAAAGGCACCCTAACAACAGCCTGAAATACCCCAGAGGCACCAATTCCTCCAATTTTTTAAGCGTATTGTAGATCATTCCACATGTAAGGTGCAAGGAAATGAAAGGCTGATTTTACCTAAAAGAGTCTCCAGAGTTAACCAACCCTGTGAACGGTTTTGATAACTTGTCATTTTAAATCTCAACAGTGATGTTAGGTAAGTCGGAAGTTTGTTGAGCAGGGCTTTGTAAACAAAAAGAGCGTAATGATGTGATCGACGTGACTTCAGAATCTGAAGGTGTGTGTGTGTGCACTGTGCCTTTCTTGAAATAAAGATGACTGTTAAGTCAGCATGTGAGCGAATGTGCAACCGAGTGTTTGAGAGTCAAGATAAAGTGTATGTTATGAGAACACGGCCATATATGTCCATGCCACTCACATCACCCCCTCTCCTCCCCTCTAACAGAAAGTTCTGGGAGAAGTTCATCTCCATCTGCCACGAGAACGCCAGCCTGCACGGCATCACCTTTGAGCAGATCAAGGCCCAGCTGGAAGCCCTTGAGCTTAAGAAGACATACGTGCTCAACCCGCTGGCGCCCGAGTTCATCCCCCGCGCCTTGCGGCCCCAGCCGGCCCAGCACCCCCATCAACATCAACATCATCACCAACACCCACACCCCCAGGGACACACGGCCACCAAGCAGCCTGGGTCCCATCAGCAACAGCAGCAGCAGCAGTCTCCCCCGAAGGTAAGTGGGTTAAGACTGGGGTAGGGGTGGCAGAGCAGCTTGGGTCTGGGGCTATGGGTCTGGGGCTATTGGAGGTGTACTAGGATACTGAAGGCTGGAGGGACTGTGCATTGAGGTCTTGATTGCACCGGTTTGTGTGTCAAGAACTGTAACGCTGCTGGGTTTTTCACGCTCAACAGTTTCCTGTGTGTATCAAAAATGGTCCACCACCCAAAGGACATCCAGCCAACTTGACACAACTGTGGGAAGCATTGGAGTCAACATGGGCCAGCGTCCCTGTGGAATGCTTTCGACACCTTGTAGAGTCCATGCCCCGATGAATTGAGGCTGTTCTGATGGAAAAAGGGGGTGCAACTCAATATTGGGATGGTGTTCCTAATGTTTTGTACACTGTGTATATTAAGCGAACGGTGATGAAAGATGGGGCTGGCACAATTACCTTATAACAGTGTAACCGACGGTTATGGATGAAGACGTCATGAAAAGAAAATTAACCATCATAACCGTAAAATAATTTTTTGTGTGGAACAAACAGCTGATTGAAGACAGGACGGCCGGGCATTCGTGCATTTGAGTCCGTTTCTGCTGTAACATGGACTCTACAACATGATGAAACTTGAAACAATCAAGGTGTTGTAGCAAACAAGTCTTTGTTTGCCTAGGCAACGCCCCCTTCCTGCAGCAGCACATGCAGTCAAGAGCGGAGGAGAAAATGTCAGTCTAAAAAAATATATAACCAAAATAAAAGGAGGGCGGGGATAGGACTGGCCACCCCTCAGAGCCTGATTCCTCTCTTGGTTTCTTCTTAGGTTCCTGCCTTTCTAGGGAGTTTTTCTAGCCACCGTGCCTCTACATCTGCATTGCTTGCTCTCTGGGGTTTTAGGCTCCGTTTCTGTGACAACTGCTGTTGTAAAAAGGCTCTATAAATACATTTGATATATATATATATATATATATATATCGTTTTTTGTGGGGGGGATGTGAATGCAATCATTTGGCTGACCAATAACCTTCATCCAAAATTCCATGACCGTCATAGCCCTAATGAGAGGGATGCATGGCTCGGGCTATCAGTGTTTTTAAGTCTTGGTAGTAGTACAACAGTACACTCACAATTCACATATTCAGTGGTTTTAGGGCTCAAGGAATGAATCTTATTTTCAATTAAATACAATGTAATTGGTTCCCTCGCGGGCCTTTTTTGGAAAACATTTTTAGAACATTTTGTACTTTTTGTGGTTGCATCAAGAGTAGTTTCCTCTCAAGTAAGTCCTCTAGGTAGTTTTTATTATTATCGCAAAACCATGTTTTCTTTTCGAAAGTGGGTTTGAAACAACAAGGAGAGAATAACCACTTGAGTTTGCACAAGTGTCTTTTTTATTGTCTCCCCCTGTGAAAATGTAATCAGTTTTTCTGCTGTCCTCGCTACTGGCGTAAAGGTTAACTAAATCACCACAGCTGCCAAGCCCCTGTATCCCCCACTGGGTCCAATGAGGTGGATATCCACATCACACGCACGTGCACACAGTCGTGCGCACTTGCGTGGGTGTACACACACGGTACCACACATAAGAGCACACACACACAAATTGGGTTGATTACAGGCTTTTACTCTTTTCAAAATACTACTCCATGCAGAAAGGTCAATAGTAAGGTCCATTGTCTGGGCAGTAAACCATAAAAAACAATATACCGGTATTCATTCGTGGACCGGTTTGGATTTTTACCCTACAGTCTATAACGCTATTTTAATGTTGGATTTCTAACGTGAAATTATTCAGTAATGACTCGTAAAAATTATGGCATTCGTCCGTTTTTATTGCCTGTAACTGCTAACAGCTGAGAACTGCTAGTTAACTTGCAAGCACAACAGTCAACAAGTTTGGGAGTACAGACCCCACGAAATCGTCCGACTGCCCCTAGTGGTGAAAGTAAGAACTGCAGTTGAAGACGAGAATACGTGGGGGGACTAAATAGAGGAAATTAATGCAGGAAATTAAGAAATTGATAAATGCTGGAATTGAACAAATAACTATGCAAATGGAAAACCATTGGTCGAGTACCAGAGTTTGAGTCTACCAAAGAGGATTTTGAATCTTTTAAAAAGTTATACAAATAAGACTACTTCACTGTCAGTTTTGGCCTATTATTTTGGGATGGTTTGGTTGAACAGTATAAAGCAATCGGAAAAGAGAAAGCCTAATAAAACCACTTGGAATTAATTTGTTGCCATACACTAGAACATTTATTATTCAGAAACGTCCAATACCGTCATAATGTCAAAAATGAGAATAATACTGTGATGTATTTTGGCCATATCGCCCAGCCCCTACTGCCAGGTATGACATGCACAAACACATATACATACACTCTTGTATACACAGTACACATACTCAAATGGCAACTTACAGCTAGGCGCACAGACATACTCACAGGTGACACACACATACACACACACACACACACACAAATCCTTACTGGGATATTCAGCTCTCGTCTGCTACAGTTGACACTCAAAGCATGTCTGTATGTTTTCTTGCTATAATCTATTTTATGTCAATATGTTGAAAGGCCACTGATAAAAGCATATTCTAGAGACTCTGCTCTAATACAGAGAAACATGTGCCCAGTCGGACGTCTTCGAAGTTCGTTTGCCATCTTGTATGAGCAGACAGATAACCGTGTGTGTGTGAGCCCCATCTTGCTCAAGTATTCATCCTCCAGGTACATCTGACATTGCTGTCACTTTGCGTGGACTCGTTCCGAGCTCCCAATGTCACTGGCCCAATATGGCTGCCAAGCAGGAAATGCTGCTGCCATCACCCGGCGTCCCCTGGTCTGAAGGTGTCCTCCTCCAGCTCCGTCTCTATCTCCCTCTCTGGCTGTGTGGTACTGGTCATCTGGCCTGGCATAGACCTAGAAGAATCTATGCCTGGCAGATGCAATGGAGCTATCATTAGCCACTGTATTGTACCTGTGACAGAGGTTGCCTTAGCAGGAGTGACATTGAGAGGCTTTGATACAGTCACCTCATATTCCTACAGACGTAACATCTAAAAAGATAGGGTTTACTATTGACTTCCGTTTTTGCTAGTCCTAACACACATTACATCGCTCATATATATATTGTTTTTGTTTGTTTTTTTGTTATATATATATCTTTTTTTTTTTTTATATGGTACATCTAGATCTAGTACATCTATCGACTACAATATCTCATCCCTGAAAATATTTTATTTAAACATCTATGAATATCCTGTTTGTCGCAAGACAAGACACATTATGCAAAGACAACCTATGCTATTAGGTACGATATCGACTTGGTAGCGACTGCTTTTTAAGTTCATAGTCATTTGCCCTCCATATGTTATGATGGATTTTCCAAGGTCGTTTTTATTTCTTGTGTGCTGTAGGTAGTTGTCACTGAACTCCTAACAAATAACCCAGCCCTTATGCCTTGTAATATCAGTCGTAATGACAACTCTCTAACCTTTTAGGCTAATAGTTACTACATTCGCTATTGAGGGGTCTCAATCATAGGTCCAGACTGTACATCATTGGTCTCAACTAATTTCAAATCATATGCTGAATAAATAAATAATATGCCATTTAGCAGACGCTTTTATCCAAAGCGACTTACAGTCATGCGTGCATACATTTTTGTGTATGGGTGGTCCCGGCGATCGAACCCACTACCTTGGCGTTACAAGCGCCGTGCTCTACCAGCTGAGCTACAGAGGACCACCAAGAATAGGCTGGCTTGTCATCTAATTGACCCCTGTCCCTGACTACAGTTTATTTCCCTTCGTTTGAACCACAGTTCCCTGTTTTCACCTCACACTTGTAATAGTTTAACACAGCTACAAGAAGCATAACCTGAGTGTCTAAACAGATAAAGGGAAACCAAACCAGCCATCTAACCCATCATGAGGCGCATCACCCAAGGGAATTCACGTCAGGTGTTATCAGTTAACACCACCTTCTAGGGGGATTGCGTGCCTCAGCTCGGCTACGCTAAAACACGCTAAAGTAGATTATTGTGTACATTCCTCCGTGCATCAATAATACAACAGGTTACAAGCCACCTAAAGTCAATTGGATCGAGAACTTCCATGTTGTCGGTCACGTAACAATCAATGTCAATGTTAGACTTTTGTTGTTGTCTGAAAATAGATACGGCCCAATGTTGTGAGGGCGTTAAAATGGAACCTGGGGGCACAGAATTGCCTCTTTATTCTCTGTATATGGAAGAGTAGAGATGGAGAGAGAGAATTAAGGTCCTGCTTGTTTTATGCAGATGTATTGGTGTGTGAGTGTGTCTAATTTGCTTTGGATAAAAGTGTCTGCTAAATGGGGTATTGTGTGTGTGTGTGTGTGTGTGTGTTTGCTTACTCCAGTCAGTGTCAGTTCTCATTAGCAGAGAAACTAATGAAGAACGTGCATAATGTATGCTTTCCTTTTAATATAGTAATAATGTAAGGAAACCTACAGCGTTTTGATATCTTAGAGCCAGTAGTATTTCTGCCCACATGACTTGGCCACATGAAAGCCTACTTTCGCTAAGAACTCAAATGCATTATGTTTAAAATGTTTCGACCCATTGCTTATTCGTTCTATCAGTTACATTTTTGTTTAGAAGATATTGCAAAGCGCCCCGGAGTTTTCTCTAGTCAGGTCGCATTAGGTGTAACTCCTGGCCCTAGAGTTCTATAGCTGCCTCCCTCATGAATCCACACAGTGGATTTTATATTCTTCAAGAGCTGCAGCAGAATGCATTATCCTCTAAGACTGCTGTTGCCATTTAGATTCAACAGCGTTGGCTAATTAAAGTGTTCTGGAAGCGTTAACCGTGTAGCCATTGTGACATATGTGGGCCACGAGGACGTTACGGTTACCGCTGCCTGCCCGCCGCTTCGCATAGGGAGCCTCGCACTCCTCCACTTGCTCCCTCCTTCCCTCCCCCTCTTTTTCTATGGACTTCTCTCGCTCCAGCGCTTTCTAAAGGATGCCTCCCTCTCTCCTTCTCTTCCAGGGGAAAGGGCAACATGCAAACCACACGGAGCACTTCCCACCTGAAGGATTTGGTGAGTGTCCATTGCTTCTCTTCCCTCCATTATCTAAGTGTTGACTTGTCTATTTGCATCCCCTTTGGGATACTCTTTCTGGGGTCCACACACATCCCAATACAAACAACACATACACACACACACACACACACACACACACACACACACACTAACAGTGGTAACTGTTTGTCTAAGGTTAAACACTGTTAGTTACCACTGGTAGTGTAAGGTAAACATTGCCAATGCAAACTGCAAGTCAATAACACTACACTCTAGCTGTATGTAGTTTGAAGGTGAAGCACTGTCCCAGTCTTAAACTTCCATCTCTCCACAAACATACTCAATGTGTTTCCCTCTTCTACAAAAAAAGACCTATTTTGTTAGTCATAATACAGGAAGGACACCATATTTATTATTTATTTTCCATTGACTGGGTTCACTTCTCAATGGTTCATGTTTCACTGGGATGTGAAGATTCAGAATTAGAGAGCTGTACCGTGGATCATTATGTACCCTACTGTGTAGGAGCGCTGTCACCATGAATCTAGTCACCCCGTATGGAGAAAACACAAGGGGGACAGGGGAGAGAGGGATAGAAGGGGAAAGGAGGTGTATTGTGCCATGACTTTAGACAGAGAGCAAGAGTGAAGATGAGGACAGTGAGGTGTATCAGGAGTACCATCATATAACATGTTGTTATTATTGCTATCAACACAGTAATAACTGCCGCCATCGTCAACATCATCACGCAACAGAACTGAACTCTCCGTCACCATCCTGTCCCCCCACCCTCCCTCTCCCTCATCAACTGCAGAGCTTTAGACCCAAGGCTGCTGTGGCAGTATAAGAACACAGCATGAAGTCATAATATGGTGTAGTCTGGGAAGACGTGAAGTCAGGTTAACTGTTCTTTCTCCTCGACTGGGGGACAAGGAATTCTGCACCAACAAACATCTCTTTCTAGCTAGATCATCATAGGAGCTGTCTACACTTGAAGACCAACATGGTGCAATTGTTGTTGTGAAAAATAATAGAATACGATATAAAGTTAAGACATCTTATTGCCAAAGAAGTACCAATTGTTTTGAAATACAATAACGTTATCTCATGGGGAAATTGGCTTGATCTGCATAGGCACAAATAACACAGACCAAAACAATGATTAGGTCTAGATAATAAAATCCTTCAGGATTAGCTACAAGACTAGCCACTGCTGTAATGAATATCACTTTTTGGAGTAGCAAATCATTAGCAAATATTAACTTTTATATTTTGTTCTACTATTCTCTTCTACTTCTAGGAGTTGCACATTATTAGCAGATATTAACTTGCTATCTTCTCTTCTCTTCCTCCCCCAACCCTCTCCAGTTCAACCCAACCCTGCAGTGTTGATGGGCAACCCCATCCGGGCGTTCTCGCCGCCCCTGGGGGGCACACCTGGCAGCATGGGCAAGTCCCCCAGTCCCGTGCAGAGGATAGACCCCCACACGGGCGCCAGCATCCTCTACGTGCCCGCCGTCTACGGGGGCAACATGGTCATGTCCATGCCACTGCCCGTAAGTATACTGCTACTGGGAATTGTAGTTGTTGTAGAATTGTAGTTTATTGTTGAGGAAAGACTCAATGTGTGGGTTTTGGTTTGAATGAATTGTTGGAAGTCTACTGCTTTGAGTCAGTTGGACGGTGTTGAGGAAAGAGTCAAATGTGTGTGCAGGAGCCTACAGTGTACCGTACAGTCTTATGCATATGTATACTAGCACACACACACACACACTCACTCACTTACACAAATCCTTCTGTTGGTGTTTGTTCTTGGTCTAAATGCACTGTTTGAGTTTAAAAGAAAACAATAATACTTTTTGGGTGTAATATGATGAATCAGTTGAGGAAAAAACAGGGACCCCTTATGCAATACTGCATTTAATTCAGACGTGTCAGTTGGGCTGTGGTGTTATGCCGAGTTGTTAACGAAAACTCAGCAGCGCGTAACGATCGCTAATAGTGCCAAAATCCCCATAAGCTTGATTGCGAAATGTTCCTTTTGTGTTTGGGCCCTCTCTGTCTCCATTACTCTCATCTTTCTCGTAAAACAAGACAAAGAACATCACTTTAATTGAGAATAATGACTTCTGTTAGTCTGAATATTTTCAATTCGGCCCGCGGTGTAAGATTTCACACTTGTTATTCCTCGTACAGTAATGGAAAGAAAGTTAACTCTCCATCTAAACCAATCTATGCTGTTTATTTCCCCATTAAACCATAATGGCACTTGGCTGATAGAATTAGCGTTTTTAATCAGGAGGATGATTTGACACGGTAAATGGCTGTGTCGGCACACGGAGGGGAAGGCTGTTTGGAAAATGATGTTCTCGTTAGATAGATGCCATCCTTTTTTCAGTTCTTTGCTGCACTAATATTTCATCATTTTGGGAAACAAACAGGATTATTTTACTATTTTCAGGGCCATTTTTCTTCATATTTGAGGAGGATTTTTTAGCGTACTTTTTTTGTAAGCATTCTTTTGAAGATGCAAATATATAGAAATTAGTTTATTCTATGACCATGCAAACAATTGGAGAGCCTCCATTCCTTCACATACCAATGCCTTTTTTTTTTACCTCTTGAGGAAATTATGGATGGATGTGCTTTGTTCAAAATTGCCTTTTTCTAAATGTTCATTGTATGATGTATTTCTGCTCACTGTTGTCAGTCAATTTGCATCCACTGAAATAAAGGGATATGTTTCACTCACCAGCCGACCTGACGGGTGGCAGTCCAACATCAACCTGCTCTCCCTTTCATAACCAGATAAATATTTTAATACACTGTCTGTTTCCTCCGACCTGCATCAGCCACTGTGCTTTTCACATAGACAGTCTGCACATCAGGGGGGAACACTAGTCTAGGCTATATTATATTTGAAAATATCTAACATGGTAATTCAGTGCGAAGCATCAAGGCAAGCTACATTCACTTTTCAACGCAGTATCTCATGCATATGTATTTTCTTGTCGGAACTTGTCAGTTGTAAAATGTCTTAAAGCATTTTACTAGAACGTCCATGAGAAAAATAGAATTTCGTAGACCCTTTATCAAAATTTGCCTAGGTACCAACATCACTCTTGTAGGAATGACCTGTTACCTAGACTTGCACTTTTTTGGGTCTACCGATATTTTTATAATTTATTAAACAGGGACAATGCGCTGTAATCCACATTTTTGAATGAACTACGATATAACCACTGGAATTAGCTAACCTACTTCCTGTCAACCCTATCCACTATGCTCTGACTAGGCATATTGTATTTGACATATATTGATGTGTGTGCATTGATTTTATATTGACTCGTATTGATGTGGTGTCCAGTCTGTCCCCATCCAGTTGCCATGGCCCGGCTACCAAAACCGCTTTGCCATGGACCCACGCATCATGAGCCACCAGGCGGCCATGGCCTATAACCTGAACCTGCTGCAGGCCCAGAACCGGGGCTCGCCCATCCCCTACGGCGGAGTAACACACCCCTCCCCCTTGGGCATGGGCCAGCAGACCAGTCCTGACAAGGAGCTTCAGGCTGATTCCATCAGAAACGGTGTGTAGCAAATAAGTTGTAGTACTTGATTGTGTAAATGGGTAGAAACTGTGTCTTAGCACAGTAGCTGAAAAGGTGCCTGCATTTTTGAACCCCTCAGGTAAAATGGACGGGTGTCCAAAGTCCGAGCAGAGCCGGCTGCAGACACCAGAGAGGAAGGCCTCAGAGATGAAGGATAAACAGGTACGTTGTTGTTGACTCGCTCTGTAGTCACGCTGTTGGTGCATTAACACAATGAGAAAAAGTCTCCATTAAAGCCTATTTATTGATCAATAATTCAAATAATACATGATTTCAAAAAGGAGTTTTGCTTTGCTCACACATTTACACAAATAAGTATTGATATAGATGGGGGTTGGTTGTTTAGCAACAAAACCGACGTGTGTGTGCAACTATGGGGCAAAACAGACTGGGTTGGCTTGATTGTTGACAAGTAAACTGTATTTAGTCTCCAATGTTTATTGAAAACATAAATACATTTGCACAATGAGCACTTGTTTTCTCTCATACATCGTTAGTTGTTGGTTAGCGAGCTAGCGAATTTTAGCCATATTAGCATAGACGTGACATCAGTCAAAACACAAAACAACACATGCTATCAAGAACAAGATAAAACTAGCTGAAACAAGCCACCTACGATTCCCTCACATGGCAGTTTCTTGTCATTGTTTCTATCTATCTGGCCATCCAGAATCACAACAATACACGGACTTCTGCCCCAATGAAGCGTGTGCATCGTTTTCGTGACATTGTCAGCTAACCCATCTATAGTTAATGAACTATTTAGAATTGATACATGGATAAATGAATACGTATCTGAATAAGTTATAGTTTAATTAATTCTGTAGAATTGCTACATGACTAAATGAGCAATGTGATTGTAGCCCTGTTCACACTGTTTGTCTTCACCTCCTCCAGGGAGAGTGTGATCCGGGCGGTGGCCGGGTTCTGGACTCTCAGACAGACGGACTGGGTTTCCCCAATGCCATGCTCCACCGCAAGGACAACTCAAGCCAAAGAACCCTCAACTACCACTTGGCACCCCCCAACCCGGCCTTTGCCCCCCACCCCGTGGGCCGGGCCTTCCCCCCACAGTACCCCGGCGTGTCCAGGCTCCCCTTTAGGGTGCCGCCCCAGCACCCAGGCGGGATCCCGGCCATGGGCCAGCCTAACCAGCATCACTCGGCCCAGCTCTCCCCAGCCTACGCCAGTGGCAGCCACAACCCCTCCTTCTTCGGCGGGGCCATGGCCTCCCACAGGGGTGTGCTGGAGACAGAGGAGGAGGGGCCAGAGGAGATGGGGAACTCCATGAGGTCCCAGATGGGCCACCAGGGGGGGCACCACCCGGCCCTGTCGCAGCCCAGCCGGGTTAACAGCTTCGGGGAGGACATCCAGGAAGGAGGCCTGGGAGACGGGATGGGTGAGTTCTACCATAGTTCAAATTCTACGAGTGCAACTTTTATTTTTTTTGTCCCCTCTAACCGGGAGGTTTATTCAAAGCAAGGGAACAATAATAACAACAAAATATCAAACAAGAATCTGTAAATGTTGAATGATAAAAAAAACTCAAGGAGCTAAATATCTGTAAATATTGAATACTCTTGTAATGATACAGGTAGGTATACAGGTGGAAATGTATATCTGTGTGTTGCATTACAGTCTGGGCTGTGGTTCAGGAGCAGCCAGTTTGGTCCACAGACGGTCCCAGAAGGCAGGCTGCAGGGCCATGTCCCGGTGCCAGTCCAGGTAGGTCCTGGTCTTGACCATTCTGGCCAGACAGTGGTGGGCAGACAGCTGCCTATGTGGGATGTCCTCCAGGAAGACCAGGATGAGGATGTCCCTGTGCTCCAGCAGCAGACAGAGAGTGGCCAGTCTCAGCTCCAGCGTCCACCAGTTACTGCGCAGGAAGTGACGTAGAGGCTCGCTGTGATGTTATCCACGATGTCCTTCCCTTGCTGGAAGTCCCTGCTGTGCAGACAGAGACGTAGGAAGGGAGGCCCCCTCTGTTCCAGGTTGGGCAGCAGCTGTTCCACCACCCAGCGCTCGTCTTTTCCGCTGTACGACACAAAGGCATCATAGCGGTACCTGGGGTAAGGGCCAGCTGTCCTGCACTGGCGATAACTCAGTCCAG